AAGTTTCCTATTATATTAAAGTTTTAAATATTTATTTTTTTTTTTTTTTTTTTAAAAAATATATTATTAAAATATATTATAAGCTAGGTGGGTTTTAGTCTTTAAACATTATATTTTTTATATTAATAATATCTTTCTTTAGGGATATATCTATTAGTAAGTTTATAATATTTTTTAATATTATTTTAGTTTTTTCCTTTTATATAGGTTTTAAAGTAAAATTTTTATTTAAATAGATTTTTAATAATAGTTTTTAAAGCTTATCTTTATATAAAGTGGGTAATATAGTTATTAATATTATAAAAAGTAAATTCCTATTAGTTATATATTAAAGGGTTATAAAGATTATATTATTTTATAACCTTTAGGGTAATATATATTTTATAGTAAAATGTTTTATAAAACGCTGGGTTTATTTATTTATATTTAAGACTAAATAAAATATTATTTATTTTTTAGTTTTTTTATAGAAGATTATTAAGTTTTTCTGCTGCTTAATATTTATCTTTATAATCTAAGTTTATTATTTTATAAAGATAATATAGTCTATATAATTTAAGTAATTTATAGTTTTTATAGGGTTTTTTTAATATTAGTTTTTAGCGTTTTTTAGGGTTAATTTTTAGAATATTTTTTTATAAAGTATTTATAAACTCTTAAAGCTTAAGGGCTTTATAATTTTTTATTAAGTCTTTTACTAAAGATCTTTTATTTTCTTTAATAATTTTTTTAATTTTATAGTATTATTTAAAGTCTTTATTTATTATACTATAGGTATAATATAATCCTTTAAGTCTTTATAATTTACATTTATAATATAGGTTATATATTTTTTTTTCTAAGAGTTTATATTTTTTTTGGTTTTTTTATAATATAGTATTTAGAAAATTATTGTTATTTTCTTTAAGTATAACAGTGGCTTTTATATTGTTTAATGTTAAGTATACTTCTGTAAAGGTAATTAAAGTATTATTAATATTACTTTATTTTTTATACTTTTTAGCTTATTTTTTTAATTTAGCTAGGTTTTTAAATTTATTGAAAAGTTTTTTTAAGTTTTAGTTAGTAATTTTATTATTTTTATATTTATTAATTTATTAAATAATATTTAGGGTTTTCTTTTTTTTAAGTATTTTAAAAAATTATTTTATATTTTATTTTTTACTAAAATAGGTTTTATATTTATTATTATAATATTCTATTTAACTAAGGGATTTATATAAAATAATATTAATAATATTAACTGTTTTATCTTTAGGTTTAGGTATTAAAGTTTATTTATTACTACCTTTTTTTTTTAATATTTTATAATATTTCTTTATATAGCTTTTTTTTTTATAGTTAAAATATTTAACGTTTTTATATTATTCTTTAATAATACTTAGGTTTATAAATCTTAGTTATTTATTATTAAAGGATATAAGATTTTATTTTTTACTTTAGTTTATATTATTATATTATATATAAAAGTTTCTTAGTTTTTTTTCTTTTTTTTTTTATTTACGTTTTTAAATTTAATTATTTATAATAATAATTTATTATATATAGTTAAAGAAACTTATTTTCTTATAGTTAATTTTATATAGTTTATCTTTAACCTTAGGTTTTACTATATAGTAATAAGTTTTTTTTTTACTTTCTTTAGTTTAATTAACCTTCGTTAAAAAGTAAATAAAAGCAGTAGTGCTTTTTAAAAAAAGTTCTTTTTAGTATATATTTTAAAGGAGTTTTTTAGCTTTTTATTCTTTATTAACAGTTCTAAATAATTTCTTTAATTATTTATAAAAGTTTTAGTATATTTTAAAAACTTCCTAAGTTTATAGTTTTTAATTATCTAAGGTATTAACTTTAAAATCTTTTATAATAGGCTAGGCCTATTTTTTTATTATTTCTGTTAAATAAGTAATAGTAAAAATAGTTTTATTTTTATTTTTTTTTAATATAAATAAAAAATATTTAAAATAGATATTAAGTTTTATAAAATATTTATTTATTTTTTAAAGGTCTCCGTTATATAAATTAGGTTTTTTTAATTATAAAACTTTACTATATTTTTTTTTTTTACTTTAAGAGTATTAATTTCTTTTTAAAGTATTTTAATTATAGCTATAGCTTATTCTAAGGTTAAAGTTTTTTTATTAACTATTATTTTATTACTTTTTTTAAAATTATTTTTAATTTTAATATTACTATTTAAATAATTACTTTAAGCTTTACTTTTATAATTAGTTTTAACGTTTAAGACTTAAAATCTAACTATTTAATATTTTATTTTTTATTACCTATAGGTCTAAAATAACTGTTTAAATAAAAGTTATTAATATATAATAAATTGGTTTTATATATAGTATAGGTTAGCTATTTTTAAGGGATAAACCTTTAGGTTTTAGGTTTATATTAACGAAGCGGTTAGGTTAAGTATAGGTATTATTTTATTAATATTATATAGTTAGTAGATATAGTAGTTAAATTTAATCTAATTACTATATTAACAACTGGCTATTTAAGCTATTTAAATAAATGTAAGAACGTAAATTTATATATTTAGTTAACCTGGGCTGGATTAAAAGGATTTTTATTGATCTGTTTAGGGATTGTTTTTTGATTTATTAATCCTGTGTTAGATTAAGAAGTTGATTTTCGATCCGCTTTTAATTGGTTTAATGGACTGTCTTTTATCCGGGGACGCCTACCCAGTAGGCTTATTGTTGTGACTATAAGAGCTGGGTCGTAATATATTTCCCACTATAACCTACTATAAATAAACTATTAAAAATTACATACATTTTATAAACATAAAAATATATAAAATATATAATATAATTAAAATATATAACGTCCCGATCCATATTTTTAGTATAGGGTAAAGGTTCCTAAGGTAATAAGCTTAGGTCGTAGGTTTATATTAGCAAAGAGGATAAAGAGTAGTTTTTAAGTAATTATAATTATAAATATATAAAAATAAAATAAAAAATATAGCTTATATTTAGTTTTAATATTTTATTAATAATTAACTATTTAAACTATTTAAATAAATATAATATAATAAACTTATATATTTAGTTATTCTTTTGTTTTTACTTAGGGTTATATTATTATATTTATAAAAATAAAGCTATTTTTATAATCCTTAGGGTATATACTAACGTAAGATAAAAAGAGCCTTACTTTTATTAGCTGCTTTTATTTATGTTTCTACTGTAGCATATACTTCTGTTAGGTCAGGTCGTAATAAAATATTTTTAAAAATATATTAAATATAATAGTATTTTAATAATATATTTTAATTTTTTTTTTTTTTTTTAATTTTTTATATATTTTTAAAATGGGCTGATTTTTTGGTGTAAATGTATAGTACAAAAAATCTTGTGTTCGCAGACTTTTGGCCATTAAGTGTATGTGGAAGAGGTTGACTTTCTGAAATGGGACAGAGCCCCTTACGATGAATGACAGCTGAGTTTGAGTTTTAGCAGGCAGATTAACATCTAAGACACGGCGAAGCTAGCTATGTATTCGGCTTCCAAACAGTTCCTTCCGTCAACCTTCCCGCTTTCTATGGCATTCCCCTTGGAACGTGAAGTTATCTCACCGTAATATGGGTAGACAATTTAAGCTTCCCTCCTACACCTACAGGTACCCTATCTTTTAAGCACCCCCTTACGAAAATCCTTACTTTATTTAACTACCTAGCTATTGAATAATACTTTTTCTAAGTAGGTAGTTAATAAACTAGGCTCTTAGATGTGCTTAAACCCGTTTAATAATATAACGTAAATAAAGGAATTATATTCCGCTGTAGGTGGTTTAAAATGCGACGGTTTGCAGTCTATTTTATAAGAAAGCTCAGCCAGCTAAGATTATTTGCAATGATGTATACAATACTGTGTACTTATACTATCCTTTCTGTTTATCTAGATTACTAGATCGGTCCGTTTGCAAGTCAAGACAAATTTGAGCGTTCGGCTGGCTGTACTTATCGAAACCGCGCACTGTATTTTTATAATCTCTAGATCCCCCCCCCCTCTTTCGTTTGAACTGTTTTGATAGTTGTTATACCTTGTTGGTCTAGCCTTTAACGGCGCGCCTCTCAGAACGGGATGCATGCATGTGCCTTCATGTCGATGATCACTAAAAACCCCGCCGCAAATTGAACCAACAACACGGCATAATGCAGTTAAGTACAGGTACAAGGCAATCCTTGGCGCTGCAGATGGCCAAAGTTGGAATCCCGCCCGACGCCCTCATTTTACACCTGTACGCATGTGGATACTTGGGAACTAAGCTAGTGCCTGTCTAGGTACCATGCACTGTGCAGGTATAAGAACCATCAATCGGTTCCAACAACTGTTGGCTCGAAGCATTTGTCGGCCCATGAGAATCAATCATCATGGCGCCCGTCTTTTTGGCGCCCGAAATCATTGGGCGCATCATATTCTTTCTCACCCATTTTAATCCTCCAGGTTACATTCCAAATGATTGGAGGCTCCTCCCAGACGCCGGTCAATATGCCTGCGTCAGCCGCTTCTGGCAGGATGAGATTGAGCGGGAAACCTTCGCCACTTTGCGTCTCAACTTGCCTCGGCTGTCACGACTGAACTCCATCATGACACCACGGCGCCGTCGGTTTGTGCGCAGGTTCAATCTTTTTATTCGGCTACCTGCGCCTGGGCCACGGGACGACCCCGAGACTGACGATGAGAGGCTGCGGAATAACCAAGCACTCCAAGCTACGCTTGAAGCGTTTCTGTTGACTTTGAGCCAGTGGACTGCGGCCGAGGTGCACCAAGATGGCATTAAGCTCTATTATTTCGCGAATCTACCGCGTGAGGAGAGACCTCCGTCTCCAATGCCCCAGCCTCGAGTATCGGCATGGGTGCACAGATATAAAAAATCGGTGCTAGAGCTGACGGATCCCGAGCGTATTGCGCAGCTACCTCCTGTTATAGCTATAACAGAGCTCATGATGAATCAACGTCCATTACACCAGAGACGTATGTCTGTGGTGGCCATTTCTTCTTTATTAGCGAAGTTACCAGCGGCAAAATTTGTGCAACTTGATTGGTGGAAAGCGGTGCGATTTGCGAGGATGCGAAATGGTAACGTTCTTGCTATACTGACCTAGGTATAAGAGCAAATAACTAATATACAGTCGGGCATTAAAGATCTAGCCAATACACTGTTTCAGATTAAACACCCAATCGAAAACTTTACCCTATGCGATTCTGTTTATACTCCAGATCAGGCTTGGCCTTCTCGAATTTCTGAGAGACTATGGCAAGGCGAGGATAGGCTATCAGAGTCCATTCGCATCCTCTCTCAGCGCGTCAAGGTGCTTGTGATCGAAGATATCGCAATTAATGATGAAATTTTCTATCCTCGAGCCCTGTCCGTGGGTTTGACAGAACCGCGATGGAACCAATTAGTCTACCTCCGCTTACACTACCTACCAATTGATCCTTCAGGGGAATTACTCTTTCTTCCCGACCCTAATGAAGCCGAATCCTATGACAGCGAGGCCTCGGTAGATTCTGATGCATCTGGCAATATGCCCGAGATAACCTTTTGGTCACTAAGTATTGCGACTCCAGCCATACAGAAGCTTCACCTCGCTGCAGCAAGGGCGGTCTTACAGATGCCTGCACTAAGGGAAATGGAACTTGAGGCTTCGCTGGGAAATGATGACCATTGGCACCAATTTTGGTATCAGAAAGGAGAATATTCGGCAAAAGCGATATGGACGAGTAACTCTGGGTGGATCCCCGAAGACGATGTGTTGGAGTGTTGGCGAAAGGTGCCGAGGAAGCATTGGAACATGGAGCTTAAAGTGACAGTTTCAAATGACAAGCATGCTGTGTTTTTTGGTAGCAAACCAACCATTGATTAATAGTTTTCTATTAAGAAAAAGTAAAGCTGACTATCAAATTAATTATTGACCTAGTGCCCCTAATACATCTTTATACCACGTAGTAATCTCACCTGGCTATCCTTGTAGAGAGTTATAGCAGATATACATGCATTCAACCTCAAGCTCACTATCACTACCTAGGTATCCTACGCACACCCTATCTAAGCGGATACGCCGACGCAGTACGCCTCCCCAAGCCAGAAGCTGCAGCAGAGCAGTATGTGTTAGCGGTCTATCCGACTTTGATGGGAAGTGGATGCTTGACTTACTTATTACAGGCATTACCCAGAACCGGATTCCAGGAATCTATATCAAAGTCAGATATAGGTTAGCTCGTTCTTACAACCGCTTGGTACTAATCAAGGCAACCTACACAGCTGAGCTAGAGTAATTTTGTTCCGAGTCGCAAAAGTCTCGCATCCATCTCCACTCTGCGTAAGGGCAAACTTGTTACATTTGGCAGGAATTCCTGATTGCGTAGGCCCAGGTGGAGTGATCACGGGGGTGGTTGCCGAAGGCTTTGAGGTGGTTGAGGGTGGCTTTGAAGTGCTCGAAGGTGGCTTTGAGGTGGTTGAGGGTGGCTTTGAAGTGCTCGAAGGTGGCTTTGAGGTAGTAGAAGGTGGCTTTGAGGTGCTTGATATCGTAGGTCCCTTGACGCAGTAAGCATAGTCAGGCCAGAAGCCGTCGCAGGTAGTTGCTAGTATATCCATCAGCTATTCTAGTTACTCATTCTTTATCATGGGATTTTCTCGTACGGTTAACGTCAGTATTCCAGGCCACAAATTGGGTAATCGTGATGCCGTTTTGAGTAGCTACGTCGCCGCAGCTATCGCCTGATTTGACGACATACCACTTTTGGCAGCCTTGTACCGTACCCGGTCTTGTCGGAGCTGGGGCGCCGCTGCTTGCTGTGCTCGAAGGTGGCTTTGAGGTCGTCGAAGGAGGCTTCGAAGTGCTGGAAGGCGGCTTTGAGGTAGTCGAAGGTGGCTTTGAAGTGCTCGAGGTAGTAGGTCCCTTAACACAGTAAGCATAGTCAGGCCAGAAGCCATCGCAAGTAGTTGCTGATGTATTAATTAGTTATATTGCGTGTTTCTTTATCAGGAGATTTTTCTCGTACGGTTAACGTCAGTGTTCCAGGCCACCAATTGGGTAATCGTGATGCCGTTTTGAGTGGCTACGTCGCCGCAGCTATCGCCTGATTTGACGACATACCACTTTTGGCAGCCTTGTACCGTACCCGGTCTTGTTGGAGCCGGTGGACCACCGCTTGTTGTTGTTGACGATGTAAGAGCGGTGGTTGAGCTTGTTGTGCTCGGGGTGGGGTCTTCGGCCGACACACAATACTATTGTAGCCAATATCAGTAGGCAAAGTCCTACCTCGCCTGCATGGGCGATGTGGGAGTAGGACGATGCAGTCGAGAAATAAGAAAAAAACGCATCAAGTAGCTTACCGAAGTATCAAGCCAAAGGCTCTGGCAATTATTTCCTTGACGCGAGGAGTTAGATTCCGGTTGCGAAGTAAAGAGAAATTTCCACCAAGAAACTCACCAACAGCAGGATTCCATGCGTACAATTGATCGATTGTGATCCCCCAGTAGCTTATAAATGTGGTACACAAGTTATCCTCAGCGGTAGCTGGTGTTTTGTCCCATATATAGCATTCATCTGTAGCACCTGCAGTAGCATCCGAAGGCTTGGGTTCGTAAGGGGATACTGTGTCATTATGGAGCGTCGCAACTGTCAGTAGGAAAGGATTGTTAGCATGTCATTTACTCCGAAAATGATTCTTTTCTGCCTCTTCCTTACGTGTAGGATCCCAGAAGAGACCGCAGTATCTGGTTGCGTTATTCAAATAGCAGTCCGAGTCTGCATCATCGGTGGCTGGCTTCCACACGCTAGGATTCCAGCGTATCCAAGTGTTTACATCAACGCCAAATAATCTAGATGCGCTAAGACAAGTGAATCTATCAAGATCGTTGTCGTACATAAAATAGCAATCTGAGATTGATCCATTTGCAAGCTCATATGTTGGCGTATAAAAGGGATCATCTGCCGAGAGGGTCGTTGTTGTCACAGGCGCGTGCGTCCAGATAGTGGAAACATCCGGCAAATCATCGAATCCCGTTACAGGGCCTAGCATCGAACTGCTTGTTGTTACCGGACCTGAGCCTGTGTTGCTTGGAGATGTGTACCCAAGAGGATTGCTGATGCAGACTACATGTCCCACCATCTTTGCGATATCTCTATTGCAGGCTTGAGGGCTGAGCATGGGATTCCACGATATAAATTGCACATCGGCGATGCCGGCCTGCTTGACAATAGTCGAACATGTGTCATCCTTGGTGACTGTGTACGTCTTGCATGATCCCACAACGCAGAGGGAAGACTTTGATCCTGGAAAACCCACGCAACCTGAGGTGAGGCCGTTGAGTGATAGTAGTTGTTCCGTGCCGATACTATGAGTGCGGGCAAAGTCATCGCAGTTGGCATTGGCTGCAACTGGTACCATTGTTCCTCTGCAAGTCTCTGTTGTTGTCACAATGGTTGAGCTGATAAAGACGGACTTTGTAGGAGTGGCGATAGGAGTGAGAGACTTGTGGCAGGAAGAGACTTGTGATGTGTACTGCACCGCCAGGTCGGCATCATAGTTCCCTGGATCTTCCATCTGGGCACGGAACGCGCCCAGCTCACAGTCGTCGCAGGCCTGAGTGAGGCCTTCATTGACTCGGAGGTAACACCACCCGTCTGATCCAGAAATCGCGCTATAACTCGGTAAGCAGTCTGACGGAATGTCCATACTGTCGAGAAGGAACTCACCTGTCTCTAAGACATCCAATTTTATACTTCAGTAGCATCATGTCCAGTGCAAGAGACGGCCGAAAAGTCTCACCACTGCCACCAAAGATGCTCTCCTGGGCGTCAGTACCCGGTATATACACAGTGCTATTAGATGGTGCAAAAGTTAAGACGTCGTCACTGCATGCTGCTTCGACTGCTTCGCTCAGAGATGCAAGTGAGTTAGAGCAGGATGTGGTGCATAACGCGGCCAAATCATCTGCTGTGAGCAATTCTGGCGTCGCGATTCCACTGATAGCATCAGCTTGGCTGAGCAGCATCATGCCATCATTGGAGCAAGACACGGGAGATTCCATGGCCTGAACGCATTTTGCCGACAGCCCTGCCATGCCGGTCACATTAAACAGCTGCGTGGTATCATCCCTTCTGAGATTGGGGACGCGGTTCCTATCAAGCGTGTTATCAGCAGAGGATCTCAAGACAGAGCCGTAGCCAACAACGGCAAGAGTAAGTAAAGACAACAACATCTTGAAGCTAATGTTGAAGGAACATGGCAAATGCAGGAAATTTTCCATGGCGGGGACCCGAGTTTTTCTCTATCACTTACAAATACATGAACTGAGAGGTCTATTGTCAAACCATTGGAAAGGTTGTTGTATTCCGGCTCGTCCAACCCTCTCCGAGTTACGCTAAATCAAAAGTCAATGTACATGCAAGACGACAGTGGATATTTTTTGCCGCAGGATCATCTACCCTGTTGTTCTTGAGGCAATATTTAACCAAATCCATAAATTATCAGTGGACTGCGACTAGGCTTGCAGGGATCTTTAGCACTGTTGGTAGTCTACCTACGTCTAAGGACCAGGTGCAAGTACCTGATCTAAGTAAGCTCTGGCATAAAATAAAGCATAAAATTAACTTTAGCTTCACCAGGCGGGAAAACTGTTAACAAATTCTAGTTGCACAAAAGGCTCCCCTGGTACACTCTTTTGGTACTCTATGCACCTTCGCTTAAACCTTTGGAGCAATGTCGATGCCACAACTAGTTCTGTTATAAAATTCGAAAGATTTTGGCCGATAAATAGTCCTTCAGGATGCGCTGCAAGTTTCTGCAAGTACGAAGTATGTCTGCTAATTTTAATCCAGAACCAATCGGCCTTTATTAACCGATCGCACCGGCGTTAACCATAACTAGATGAATATCAATAAAATATCTCACCCCAATGCGTTTTCGTGAGGCCGATAGCCCCTGTCTGAGAAGCCACTAATCTGGTTTTGGCGAGACCCTCTCTGGATAAAATGAATAACCCATCATTTTCAGGAAACCTCCGGTAGTAGCACCCGCGGAAGTGATATCACAGGTCCATTGAAGATGGATCCTGTTAGTCCCAACGTCCAACAGCGTCTTGGCTTTCTGCAACCATCATATAAGCCCAACAATGAAAACTGTTGTTATGCGGGCTCTGTCTGAACGAGGAAACTAATTTCTTCAAAGGGTCCGCTTCCCCTGCATATGGAACCACTATGTTGAAGAATTGGAAATGGACCCTAATGAGCCAACGCGGTCTTGGCGCGCCGTAATTGCCGTATAGCGTTGCTATTTCACGAGAGTTGTTGTTGGTTCGGTTGTTTCGGGGCAAGAGAAATCGTTTCTTCAAGGTCCCATTGTCCGTTTCCCTTACAAGAGAACTACTATGCGGAAATTATCAAGAGGCATGAGATCACTAAATACGGCTCTGTTCGTGGGAAGTTTAAATTAAAGGAACTTTTGAACAATTCAGTTCACAACCAACGACCGAATATCTCAAGTACAGATACAACTTGCTGATAGGCTGTGAGCTCGCTACTCTGGACCTTTTTCATATGAATATCCGCAGACCTTGAAAAGAGCTATCGCATTTTCTCTTGAGTTCTAGCATTCATATTCGTCCCGAGGACAGCCATTCATTACTATTTACTTTGTTAAGACTTTTTCGATTATATTGGTTATTGTCTCTGACATTATAACTAGCCTCTCGTTGTACTGAGAGCGTCAATTATGGGTAAGGAGACCCGAGCCGCAAGGCTGCGACATACGTCTATCGTTGGTCTTCTCCTTTCGCTTGCCGCCTTACTATTCATCTTTCCAACCTCTGTGGCGGCTGCTGGGCCAGAAATTGGGCAAGACCTAAAACTCACCAGACGAGCGGTACCAGATGTCGGGGAACAAAGCAAATATATCAATCTCTTTGGAAGAGCTGCTGTAGTTGATGATCACACCTGCGCAAAAGGCCGTCCATGCATCAACGGAGCCTGTTGCGGTGCTAGCGGCGTGTGTGGCTACGGGCCTGCGTATTGCGGCATTGGTTGCACATCCAACTGCGACGCTAAGGCAGAATGTGGTCAATTTTCTGAGGATGGTAAAAAAACCTGCCCGCTGAATGTGTGCTGCTCCCAGTTTGGCTTCTGCGGGCGAACGACAGTGAGTGTGTTGAGGTCCCTGACGCGACTTCGGTAAACTGATAATAAACAAGGAATTTTGTGATCCCGGTGCCGGATGTCAGTCTAATTGTGGGCAACCTACTCGTCCTGGGGGTGGAGGCAATGTTCGATCCCAGATCATAGGTTACTATGAATCGTGGAGTTCGGGGTCTGGGCGGTGTGGGTCTTTGAAGCCTTCTCAACTTCCTGTATCTGCTCTCGATATCGTCAACTTTGCGTTTGCGTACATCAGTCCTGATACGGTAAGTGATAAATCGCTAAAAACTTTTTCGAATTCTAAGTTCTAACGGGAGCAGCTTGATATCGTCCCCATGGTAGGAGAAGACGGAAGCAGTCTAAGTGCCGCTGACGCCGACAAGCTTTACACCGCAGTGACTTCGGCCAGATTCGCAAACCCGAAAACGGGCTTCTGGCTGTCTATAGGAGGATGGACCTTTAGTGATAACAAGTAAGTGCATACAGCCACAAGGGTAGGCCCCGAGCAAGGATGTGGTACTGACGCAGAGATCTGCAGCACTGAATTTCAACACGTGTTTGGCGATATGGCGGCTGAAGAGGGGTTCAGAAACCAATTTGCCCTCAATCTGGTCAGATTTATGACTCAATACGGATTTGATGGCGTTGATATCGACTGGGAGTATCCCGGTGCACCTGATCGTGGCGGCACTGATCGCGATTTTGGCAATTTCCCATTGCTCCTAAAGGCCGTCCGTGATGCTTTCAATGAACATGGTCACGGGCACTGGGGTATTTCTATTACAGCCCCAAGCTCATATTGGTACTTGCAATATTTCGATCTCCAGGAGTTGGTCAAGCATGTCAACTTTATCAATCTTATGAGTTATGATTTGCACGGCATCTGGGATGAAACAAACGAGATCGGCAAGCAAATCTTAGCTCATACCAATCTCACCGAGGTTGATCAAGCACTAGATCTCTTCTGGCTTAACGATATCAGTCCAACAATGATTAACCTCGGTATCGCCTTCTATGGACGTTCGTACAAGCTTGCCGATGCTTCGTGCACAAAGCCGGGGTGTAGGTTCAGTGGCCCCGGTGCCAAGGGTGACTGCAGCAACACAGCAGGCTATCTATCATACCGAGAGATCATGGAAGAAGTTGCATTGGCCGGCGACTCGGCATATCAAATGTGGGACAGGGAGGCTGCTGTAAAGATGTTTGTCTACGACAGCGATAACTGTCAGTCACTTTCATGCATTCGTTTCATTTCCATTTCATGCCCGCAAGATAACTAATCCTTATATTTGGCAGGGATTTCATATGATGACAGTGTCACTTTTCAACAGAAGGTTGATTTTGCCAATGACCGTGGGTTAGCCGGCTTGATGGTTTGGGCTGTTGACCAAGATGACGATGGCTTCAACGCACTAAAGGCCCTTACAAACAGGGAGGTGGATGCAAAGGTACCAGAGAGTGATTCGCTGGATTTTGATATCTCTCAGTGTTATTACACAGAGTGCGGAGGTGAATGTTCACCGAATCAGGGTTTCAAGGAAATGGTTTGTTTCATTATCCATCTCTCGCGTCTTTATTTGAAGTAACCTTCTTTCATATCACCACTCACTAACTCAATCAATCTAGACGAGGCTGAACCTTGATCGCTATGGCAAAGGCTGCCCCAAGTCAGGCAAGGATTCTAAACAGCGTGCTTTGTGCTGCCCACCCTGGGGAGCACCAGACCCGGCAACCTGCCACTGGACGAACAGTTGCACAGAGAGTTGCGAAGATGGAGAGGTGATCCGATATTTTTCTCCCATCTCTTTTACGTTGTAGGCTAACCCGGCGCTCTTCAGACAACGTTGGCCCTTGATAACTATGGCGGAGGCGGATACTGCTCGACAAACCGCAAGCAGTTTTGTTGTCCGGCCTTAAACATTAACAAAGCTGTGAATAAGTGCCAGTGGTATCGCGGAAGTTCTTGTCCTAGCAATAAGCCACAGTATCTCACATACTCTGGATCCTCGAAACTCTGCTGCCCAGAAGAGCCAGTATTCAACGCCAACCTTTGTGACTGGTATGGCTCATCTGGATTCTGCGCGCAAACGAACTGTCCAGTGGTAAGCTTTAACTAATTTCTATAATCCTATCTTATGCCATTGACATGACCTATTTTGTTGTCACAGATTGACTAACCTTTCATCTGCATTTAGGGAGACGTCCTGGTAGCACGAAGTTCATGGGCTACTCCTGTCAAAGGCTCCAGCTCCACAGCCAGCGGCTGTTATTTCGGCGGCCAAAAGTCTTTCTGTTGCGTTTCGCCTTTCGGGTAAGTGAAGTATCCCCAGGCTTTGGAACTTGTTCACTACTGACCTTGGGATACAAAATGTAGCTCAGATGCAGGGGGGACACTGCCCGTTCCTCTAGACCATCTATTTCCAGAATATGAATCAATTCCGACCGCCGATGAAGCTGTGTACCAAGAAGCCTTTGATGGCATATGGTCATGGGACGTTGATCCTGAAACTTCACCTTTCGGTTCGTTATAAATCCCTCGATGTCGTCTTGAATTTCATCCAAAGAGCCCTTAATTTGTTTCTGTTTCTAACCAGTGGTTTCTTTCCAGCTTGGGTTGTAATGGTTGGTCCTCCAGAATCCGTACAGTCTCTTGATAGGCGTGACGGGTCTTTCCTCGAAACCTTTGATTGCCCTAATCCGGACCCTGAAGACTACAGCGTGCAGACCTTTAAAGCAGTCTGTTTGGCTGAATCGGATGACCACGATTGTGAGGATCTTCTTCTGGGCGACGGAGCCTACGGAACTATCGCTCGCCTCCCTGCATCGTGCGGACCGGATGAGTGGGTTCGCGTCGTTTCGTTCAACGAAATTGATAACACAACACTACCGCACCACCTCGTCAAACGCGCGACGCCTTATTCCAAAGTATACGAGATCAAATACGATTATCGCATTCGTGATGTGGCCAGTGATGAGATCTTTGTGCGAATTGATACCTCGAGTCATTCACACTACTGGAGCCAAATAGTGGCATCAGACATGCAGTCCAAAAAGAAGCGCAGCGAAGACGACCTTCAAACGGACGGCGCTGCTAAGAAGAAATCAAGCATCCCGGACTGGCGCGAGCCGCACATGGAGTGGTTTCGCCAACACGAGCTGCGGAAGCGCGGCGCTGGCAGTGGCGGGTGGTGGGCACAAAAGTTCATCGACTTATTGAAGAACGGTGCAGTCAGCAGCAGTGAACCGGGCAGCTACAGCTTCGAGCAAGTCTTATACCAGGCATCCATCAGCTGCCCGCCAAATTTTGATGCAAGCATGTCTGTTAGAGCCAATGGGTCGTTAAATGCTGACCTCGACTTTGGTGTGAGCTTGATTGGTAGAGTCAAGGACACCCAATTCGAACAGGCCTTTGCCTACTTCTCAATCAAAGAGTTTTCGGCAAATGTACAATTGTATCTTGAGGGAGAGGCCCAGTTCACCTTTGAGTCGCGCGAGGCTCAACTGCGTATGTTGCTGAGCATTACTTTCATTCCTTACCGGAGCTTGTTTTACTGACCTGTGTGTAGTCGAAAATTTTGCACCTTGGGGAGGAAGTTTCAATATCAAGGGACTAGTCACCATTGGGCCTTATATGGATGTCACAGCGCAGGTAGACTCTATCGCGACTGTCTCTGGGTAAGCATCTATCCCTTCATTTTGTGCCGCTATGTTCGCCACTGACATATATATTGCAGGTTCTTCGGAAGTGGTGTGACCATTTCAAACACTAACATGAATAACGGCAAGACGGTACCATTGACATGGATGTACCCGCCCTATCTGGAATATCTTCCAGACCCTACAGCACTGTATGCGGGCATGTACTCACTTGACACTACCGTTAGAGCAAACAGAAAGGTTTCTGTCGCAGCTCAGGGTTCTATCGCCCTCACGCTCACCCCAAGTATAGCGTTCAAAGTGCAAGTCGACATCAACGGCCTTCTTCGGACCGACACGCACATCACGGCAGCTTTCCCCAACCGTATGACCATTGGAGTGGGTACGTCCGAGACTTGTACCAATGGCCTACAGTACCGTATGGATTACGAGCAAAAATTCGACCTCATCACCAACACGTCCTCTCTGGGCTGGGATTTGCCTACCACTACTATTTACAAGACCTCCAAGCAACTGCTGGCCCCCAAATGCTACTCATTCATTCCAGACAACTTTACCCCAGTGAATAATTTGGAATCTAGAGTTACAGGCAACGCAACACAAGTTCCCAGTCTACAATCAGTTAGGCCACGTGCTGATGGTGATGATCAAGCGCCAGTCGTGAACCCACTTTTCCCGGATCCGAAAGGATCTTGTTTAGTGTGTCCCAGGGACACATACTTTGAGGACAGTCCCTGTTCTCCGCTCTTTGATGAGGACGGCATAGTGAATGACCCAGAATGCGAAGGAATCGCTGGAGCCTCGTCAAAGAAACGCGCTACAGTTCCAGGTTCTGCGCCTTTGAGGCCAGAATATGAAGCCACCTTGCGATGGTTCAAGAAAGAGCGCGCGTTAATCGAGAAGCGCACTAACACTAAGCCTCCTTTCGATCTTTGCGAAAAGTACGGCTATGATCCCGCCCAGACCAAGTGGAAACCGACTGTTAATGTCCCAAAGCTCACCTACTATGTCTCGAGTGAAGTTATTGCTGGAAAGACGGGAGGCAAATACAAAATATATGGACCTTTAGATAGGTCTGATATGGACAACTACGGTTAGTCGATCCCCGCTACATTTCCAAAGGGTCCATGAGCGTGATACTAATAAGTGGGCAATAATAAGAATTTGGCGAACTGAAGACCGTTAGCGACTCAAAGAAGTATGGTGCAGAACATGTGCTTGTGAGTGGCGTTAAGATCTTTATATCGTCTTCAAATTGCGATCATTTTGCTAACTTTTTTTGCTGGAACATAGGAGCACCATACTGTAAGTCTTTTTTGACTATGTCTTGTGAGATTTCTCACGTCCATCATATTCTATTACTCCGATGGCGAAGTGGGCACTTGATGCGTGGCATGACTAACAGAAGTATAATTTAGCTCAAAGATTTCCTCGTGAATTTTGTGGCCTTTATGAACAAACCAAAAGCAGATTCAGGGAAAAAATTTGATAACGCAGCAACGCCAGCATATGCAAAACAGTATACCAGAGCCAGCGACGGCTGGTTGATGGCTGGTGAATGGGGCTTTTGCGCGCACTTTAAGTTTTGGCTCGACATGATCCCACTCCAAGCCACCTGGTACGATTCGAAAGAATATGCGGCACCCACGGGGGCTTTGAGCCAGACAATCATGAAAGCGATCCCCAACACCGAGAAATATGGCGAAGAAATGCCGTTACTTGACGGTCAAACAAATTCTGTGAAAGAAGCGTGAGTGTTAAAATGGCCAACTTAGCTTCAATAGCGGATTCGTCGCTGACAACTCACTCTCTTAGAGCGTGGAATGGCAACACCATAGATGTCCGACGAATTGAAAAGTGCTTGAAGAAAAAACCACCTCAGTATTCACAAGCCATTTGCGACATGCGCGAGGTCCTATACGCAATTCAATATCACCATGGCATTGAGGATATACTTAAAAAACAAGCAAATAGAATCGTTGATTTTCTGTTAGTTTTTACAATTTCCCCAAGCCCCGATTCTTGCAATGCACAACAAGTGATTCTCTCTGGTATATTGTGCAGAAACTGACTGTATTTGTATCCTAGGGAGGGCATGGAAACCGCGGCCGAAAATTTTAACGACAAGACATACGCCGTTAAGCCCTATGTGCGCGTTGACATTGCAAATTATTTCAAGAGATGGATGTACGAAGAGTCCGCAGCTGCAGGACGAAGAATGGCATTCGTACTGAATCAGTACCAGAAAGAGATTGAGGAAACACTAACAGGCCCAAGTAATGCGGCCGGTGGCGGAACCACGACAGGTGCGCAGCAAACCAATAAGGATTTACTGAATCGCGTACTGGATCTTAAAGCGGCCTATGGTGAAGTTGGTGAATGGTCATATTTAGGGAACCAAAATCCTTTTGAGGATTGGAAGGACGAACCCCCACTACCTAGGAACACTTACGACGATCCCATGGATATAGATGATGGTGATCCAATGGATACAGATGATGATTAAATGGATACGGATCCATAGTAGATACGGAGTACGAGCATATTGTATATCTAGTTAGTTTAGATATTGAGGAGTGTTGACTCACAAGCAAAACTGCCCTTAACTCAAACACAGATAGATATTAATACGAAAGTGTAAAGATGATTCACAGTATGTGTATTCTCTAACTTCCAAACATAACTTGCCTCTCTCATTATTAAGTGTTAATGATTTAAAAGATGATGTAGGTTTATTTTTAGGAGATATACCACAAACTACTCACGAGTGGTTGACTGGAACCAGAGATCTGTTGCTGTTTAAATAATATGAATATTTAAGGAGGATTCCTTCGCACAAGAAACGGCGGCGCAGTATAGCACCATAGGCGATTGACAATAAGAAAATACTAAAGGTAAAACGCGATTGCTTCAGACATTACATCATTTTAAGTCCATGTAAACTGAAAACCATTGTTGTAAAGCCTAAGTTCAGCTCCCTTTCAGTATCAAGGGTTCTTAGAAATATATCGGCTTATAGTAGGAGAGAGTATAGCTGGCCGAAATACAAACAACCAAATCATCAAGAAGAAGAAGAAGGAGGAAAAGAAAAGAAAAGAAGAGCTATCCACAGGAGCATATGAAAATATCCAACTCACTCAAGTTCATCAGATAAGCTCCCCATTTCCATCTGCATTGCGTTCGTTCCTGATATCGTCTATGAGTTGGAGAGCATACCAAGCGAGCAGCTGGAACCCCTGAGTAGCTACGCTTAGGAATAAATGCCAGCCTGTGTAATCACATATCAGAGACAGATATGTCAAGTATTAACCCACTTATCCCTACGAAATTCTGTTAGACACCGCCCATTGTTGACCATCTTAAGTCTAGAATATTACTAATTCACTATGGAAAAGGCCAGCAATAGACATCCCCACCCAGCAAAACGGCCATACATAAAAAGTTAATACTAAAGGATTTATAAATACTTCGTTACAATATTTTTTTTTTTTTTAATGATATAAAGCATTAGTTACAACCCCAATTATGTTAGCGCTAGTCGAGGTTGCTTGCTTGCCAAGCCGCCTTTTCAAAAGATTTTTTGTATAATAGAAAGCGTATCGGGACACAGGTATTAGTGAAATAGGCGTATTCGAATACGCTTGTCGAGTACGCTGCCTAAGCCACAATTCTAGTCCGCAAAATCCATAGCTGCATGCCATGACTTCGTGGACAATCGAGTCAAGCCGGCCAATCGAGTTAAGCTTATGGCCACGAGCTAACTACAATAGTATTGTATGTTATTTGGGGGCTGCGGTAGGATTCTTTTGATCCTGAAAATCCTACGGGGTGGAAATCCTGCTGGGTAAAAACGCCAATTAGCATAGAGCGTAAATTATGAGAGTATACAGCAAGCCACTAAACTACAAGAAAGAAAGAGATACGACAGCATTAGGTTGCCAGCCCCTGCAATCAATAAGCGTAATTTGTAAGATTATACGACAGTATTAGGCTGCTACCCCCGGCTAGCTGACAATCTTAACAGCCCCTATAGGGCTCAGACCGACCCTGAGCCTCTCAAATTAAGTCAGCTTATACAGTAAAGAGAAGATTTTGTGAGAAACAAATAGAAAGCACCATACAGTTGATTGGTTAACAGGATACGCAATGCCCCCGCTGATCGCGTGAAGCGAGAAAGAATTGCCATCATAGCGAGAATGTCTATATATTTCCAACTATCACCAGATGAGGTTGCAGTTCTGCAGTAGCTATCTCTGCGCCAATTCCTCTGGGCTATTCATAGACCTCGAAGATGAAGTCTTTCTCAGTCTACGCAATTCTACTCGGTGTTACCTCCGCTGTGGTAAGTCGCTCTATGATGCATAATGCATTATCTGATATGCAAAATGGCGGGTTTCTTAAAATTTCAGAATGACTGATTTTGTGTTCTTTGTACAGGCAGCCTCATACAAGACTGGAGCCGACAAGGACGCGATATCTTGGGCACCTCTTGTGTGGACGGGCCAAGTCAAGGCTGGGGAAGACAATGTCACCCTAAGTGGTACTGCTGAGGCAAGTTGCCTTGCTTAGCGTCCTAAGATTACACCCGCAACCCACCCACGAGCTAACCACTTTTCAGGAAATATATAACCAAATCATTGCCATTAATCCCGATTATGACAGTCAGCTTGGCGTTAAGAGCGGGAGGGAGGCCAGCGACACTGTCCCCCATATTCGGGGGGATCCTATTAACACTAGTGTATAAGGCTTTCTATCCATAAATAACCTTACCCAGATAGCTCACTGACTTGTTGGATAGAGCCGTAACTGTAACGTGTTCAAGGAGACATATCAAATTAACGTTTATGATGGTATTAATTATCTTTATGTACGTGCTTGTCAGCTCAGATATCTATAGATCCCTAGCAAAGGCAGGAGCTCCTGTATAAGTGGATTAACATGGCTATCTTCCTAGGCAATCGGCAACGGCGGATGTACTGCTCCCGCGGGTTGGGGCGGCTGTATCCGAACTACTTGCAACAACAACGCTGCGATCTTCCTCTGCAATGACCATCCTACATCTATAACGGTGCCCTGTAAGTTCGTGGCCGAGTAAGTGAGCACCTGCCAGCATCACATCTACATACCTGGTTAACGGTTTGGCAAAGCAATGCAGTGGGAATCAACGAGTACTGCATCAGATATGAATATATCTCGCCACTACCTGGCTCAGGGGCTATTGGAAACTGGATTCATCACGTTAGGGGACAGGTATGTCTATGAACTGGAGCTTCATACAGATATGCGACCTTGGAGCAGAGTTTCTTACATAAGCTTGCAGATTTTCTCATTTGACGGCACGTGGAATGTTATTGTCACTGATTCATATTGCTCCGACCCTCCGACAAAGGGTCCCTGAGCTTTTCACTAAGAATAAGCATGGTGTCCCGAGCTGGATATTATGGTTGCGATAATGGGCCTACGGGGAAGCCGCTTCCCGGTAAAAGTCAGACTGCCTGAGCAATCAAAGAGAGGCCATTAAATTGTTTAATAATTCAATGATCCATAACACAGGCTATCAGAAATCAGAAGTCCAGCCAGCCAACTGAGTACATAAACTCATATTTACTACACTCATTCAGATAGTTTGATAGCTAATTATTAACACAGCAATATGTAACGAACCGGGTCCTATATGACAGTATAGGTTAGCTGTTCCTAAAGGATAATCCTCTAGGGTCTTGGTTTATGTTGGCGGGTCAGTCAGGTCGGTAATGGACAGTGTAAGTATTATGTACCTAGCTAGTAGAGTGATATCTAAACCTAATCTGATGGCTAGATTTACAACTGGCTACCTAACTATTTTAAATGAGTGTGGAGAATGTAAGTATATTTTCAGCTATGCTGGGTAAAGTTGTCTATAACTGTGTTAGCCACAGACAACTCCAGTTGTCTGTGGTTGTGTCGACTTAACGCGACATTGATCCTATTAGTTAGGTTACCCGAAGTGAACCTACATGCTGCCTACCCTGTAGGCATATAATTGCAATTATAGAAGTCAGGTTATAACACTAATCTAATTTTACTATATATGTTACTATATATTATAAATGCCTAAAGTCCTTTGGTACACGGAAAATGTCTGAGGTGCCTTTTAAAACATTAGTAAAAAGGTTTAAATGAAGTCTATTAATGTATTACACTGGTAGCTATTTACAAAAATGTGTTTTAGTAATATTATAATATAGTATCTGTGTATTGTAACGATCCGTTATATTGTTCTGCTGAACGGGGCAAAAGATTAGGCGGATCATAACATGTAGGAGTAAGAGTTAGGCGTAAAGTAAAATCTCCTAGGTAAGAGAAAAATCTAACTGAGCTTAATATAGCCCTGTAAGATAGGGCAATGAAATCCCTAAAATTAGTTAGTTGAAATGTTATTTTATTATAGTATTAGTAAACATTTATAAGTAAAATATCTTTTTTACTTCAGTAGGCGAACTTGTATTGCCCACCCCTATTGCATACACCTAAGACGCAACGTTCGTTTACAAGCTACAGCATGTGGAAGAAAGACACTAAAATATATAGGAAAAAACAGAGGGGAAAAAAAAAGGAAGACAGTGAAGAAAAATCCCCAACTAGATTTAATTACACCGAAACGTACCCCTTGCTCCGCCTCATCTCACAAGGTAAGGCTCAAGATATCCTCTTCAGGAGCAAAAATAACTGCGGATATTGCAACAGCGAAAAAGGCTGCCACCTCCTCGCCTTGGGTCCTTGAGATACGATCCTCCCAAAGCTCCAGGACAATTCTAAGCGTCTTTGGCCCATCAAGCACTCTAATGTAGATGTCATGCTGTAAAGAAAGTTAGCATTTCTGAGTCTCATAGTCGAGCAGTTGGTCCACATACCTCTACTGGATCTTGTCCTCCCCGATAGATAATTGCTCCTTCATCCTCAAACGTTACGGATTCACCTCCCGCTCTTTGGAAAGATATAGCGGTGTTGAATAGTTCTGCCACCTCTGCACGAGGAACGGCCTTGGTAAATTCCGCCAACGCATACGTTTGATGCGGTAAGCAGTCAGCATAATCCTCTTGTACATCCTTCAGGACCTTCAGGACTGTTCGTGGTTTGTCAAGGTGTATGCGGCAGGGAACCAGGGATATCAATGCCCCAAACATGTCATTGACTTCATCAACGGGTACATCCCGACCTGAGGTGAGCATGCCTAAGCAGGGCACCTTCGATCCCGTATACCGTTGCAAAACAAGGGCCCAAGCAACCTGAATAACAGTGGCTGTCGTCACTTCCCATTTCATGCAGAAGTTGTGTATTTTATCTGCATCAATACCCGCAACATCAACTAAATACGTGCCATTCTCCCTTTGACTGCTACCTGAGGTGGGCATGAGGCATGAAGAAACGCCATCTAAATATGATGGCCAAAACTTAGGGTCGGCTTGACCCGATTGCTGTTGGATATATTTGATGAATTCCGAATGCAAGGGGGCGGGCGGGCTAGCGCTGCCACGATATGCCTGTCTAAAGTCACGAATTAAGACATTTACAGAGTGTCCGTCTATGATAGCATGGTTCATCTCGATGCGGAGATGAGCGCGGGCTCCGTCGAGCTGAGATATGGACAGGTTATGTTGAAGGCCGTGCTTGCCATAGCCAACAGAAGCATGACAGGTCTTCTGTTTGCTATCATCCCCATTACCATTCGAGAAGGGGATGTGTGAGATGCTTGGAACAGGATCCTTCAGCACAACATGCATCGTGCTTGAGCTCCCTGGCATACTGGTGACTAGATGGGCACGCAGCAGTGAGTGCCGCTGCACAATGCTACGCCAAGTCTGCTCGATCCTGGAAAGATCAATTCGGTCACTGCCGCCGGTGGCAAGCACCTCGAACTCTAGTACAACCCGATAGGTCTCTGGGTTTTTGGCTTGAGTAGCCAGAATCCGTTCCTGGACTGGCGTGCAGGGGTAGATGTCCTCAATGTCAGCCATGGTTATGCTCAGCTCTGGCAGCAGGCTAGTTTCGAATTCAGCTAGGTCACCGTATGACGAAAAGGCCATTGGATAATCAGCCAGAGTCCACTGTTGGCTTTGTTGTGGCAGCAGTGACGCCATGCTTTGGAGAAGAGACTGGTATTGCTCTACCCACATATTGATTTTGGATTGGTGGCGGGCATTCTTGGGATATACAACGGAAATGGCCAGGCGGCCCTTGTCTGTTGCTGCGAAAACGTCGAATAGAGCATATCGCCGCACTCCAGAAAAGGATGCCGGGTCACAGCCCTCTGGCAACGGGAGCGGTTCGAAGAGTGACGCACCTCGCTCCAGCTGTTGATATGAACCGGCAAAGTTTAACAGTATCTCGGCAGGGAATCCAGCAGTATTCGCCTTGGCCTTGTTTTGGTCTGCAAATCTGGATGTGAAATACGACCAGCCATTCTTTGATAGCTTGCGGACAAAGTCCTTGGTCTGGCGGATTGTGTCAGCCACAGCACCACCTTGAGCCATGGGCACATATACTGGGAATATTGTTGTAAACCAGCCTATGGTGCGAGTGACATCGATGTCCATGTCGTCGTCCCAAGTCTCTCGACCATGGCCTTCGCTGAATATCGCCGGCGCTTCACGATCCTCGAATACACTGCGGAAAGAGTGCACGAGGGCGGACGCCATCAGCTCCATGGGTCGAGTGTTGAATACTTGGTTGCAGTCGTCGCCGAGAATCGCCGCACTGGTTGCATCATCTAGAACAAACGACTTGACCGTAGTGGCCCCGATAACATTCTCGTCGCTTTGTATACCCCAGTATGACAAAAGCGGCGGTGGGACTTGTATAGCCTCGAGCTGACTGTCGAGATGCTCCGCCGCGAACTGCCCCTGTAGGTCGCACCACGTACGAAAACTTGTTGTGACGGGAGAGTCCAGCTTTCCAACGGTTAGGAGCTCCTCCAATTCCGTGAGCAGCACGCGCCAAGACACGAGATCGATGACGAGGTGGTGGACTGTGACAAAGAGCTTCTGGCTTTCGGCGTCGTCTTCATACAGAACCGCCGCGAGAAGTGGGCCACTCTCAATGTCGAGTAATTCACGGCACTGGCGGATGCATTCCGCTTCTTCTGGCCCCGAAATTGCTGCATTTGAAGCTTTGCTTATATAAAACGAGCCAGATATATCGTTGGTGATGCGTTGCTGCCATGCTCCTTCGCTTGTCTGGCTAAACCGGGCGCGCAGCATGGGGTGTCTCGACACGATGGTCTCGATGGCTTGTGCCACAGAGACGAACGGAAACGCTTTGCGTAGTTTGAGGAGAAAGTTCTGGTCGAAACATTTGGTGGGATGGGGCTCCAGTTGAGTGTGAAACTGTTGGATAGGACCCAGCTGGAATGGTTGGCCGTCGTCGTCGTGATTGTCTGTAGGATCGGGGCCGGATGAGCGCTTGGGGACGAGAGCACTAGCCGCAAGCCGAGATATCGTCTTCTTCCGGAGCACGTCTGCGGTTGAGACGTCGATCTGAGAGGACCGAGCAGCTGCTGATACCATCATCGCCGAGATCGAATCGCCACCGAGACGGAAGAAACTCTCATCTGCTCCGATGGTAGCCGGGTCAATGTTGAGAACCCGTGCCCAAATCTGTTGCAATACCTTCTCCGTCTCTGAAGATGGAGCTCGCTTATTGGCAAGGCTGCTGCTCTGCAGTTCGGCCAGCCTTTGCGTGGAGAACTCTGCCCCGATGCGACGCAATACGCCGCGGTCTGTTTTGCCCGAGCCGTTGATTGAAATCTCGCCGATGGCAAAGAAGACTTTGGGTACCATGTAAGCGGGCAGTCGCTCAGACAACTTGTCCTCTGCTTCCCGGCTCACGTGGATGACTTGTGCCTCATTCGACGTCAGCTTTTTGTCTAGGACAACGAATGCCGCGAGTATAGGTGTTGCCCTGTCTCCCCCAGGCACAACTATCTCTGCAACGACCTGGCGAATACCGGGAACACAGGCTTGTACATGATACTCAACCTCACCTAGGTCGACTCGCTGGCCGCGGATCTTGACCTGGTTGTCCTTGCGCCCCTGATAAGTCAGGCTGCCGTCCGGATTATATCGCACCAAGTCTCCCGTCTTATACAGGCGCCCATTGCGGCCGCCGTGGAGCAGCCACGGTGGATTCTCGATAAATGCCGCCGCCGTCTTCTCCGGGTCATTAAAGTAGCCTCGCGCCAGAATTGGGCCTTCTACAAGCAGCTCACCAATGGCCCCGACGGGGGCGAGACGGCTGGCATCGCTGGGTAACACCACCCAGCTCACCGAACCCACGGCCTTTCCTATACATGAACCACCGCGGTCGTTGCTGGCGCTGATCTTGTTGATTGAACAGAAGATAGTACTCTCTGTTGGGCCATATGCATTGATTCGCGAAATGTGCGACCACCGGTTGAGGTCTTGGTCGCTAGCGTTTTCTCCAGCCAACACGATTGTCTTGACTGATGGCGTCCGGCTTGGATCTACCAGTCGCGCCACCGATGGCGTAAGCGAAGCAACATTGGCCTTCATTCTCTCGATGCTTCCCTCCAGGTCGTTGAACCTCTCCTCGTTGGACGGCACACATATACAACCCCCGTAGATGAGGGTAGTTAGCACCTCCATGATGCTGACATCAAACGTGTACGAGGTAAACTGCAGCATTCGTGTCTGTTTGTTGAAGCCAATCTCGCGTCCATGACTAACGCAGCTAGTACTGACGGCACGGTGATCGACCATAACGCCCTTGGGCTGTCCTGTGCTCCCAGACGTAAAGAAAACATAGGCAGCAGAGGAAGGTTGCTGGTGTGAGGCTCGTTGAGTTCTCGACGTTGCTGGCAAGTTCTGGATGCTCTCGTCATCAACAGAAATAACGGCCCGGCCAGGAGTTGCAAGCACCGCGACGTATGTATTTGATGTTAACACTACCTGCGCGCCGATCTGGGCAAAGACAGCTTCTCTCCGGCTTGAGGCCTGTGTCATGTCTAGAGGAACAAAGGCGCCACCAGCTTTGAGAACGGCAATCATAGCAACGACCGCCCACTTAGACTTGTCAAAGCATAGTGCTACCATGACTTCTGGACCTACCCCTAGATCGACCAAATGGTGCGCCAGCCGGGTTGCCTGAGTATCCAGCTCGCTGTATGTTAAATCGCCATCCCAGGCACATATGGCCGTTGCCTGTGGGCACGCTAAGGCCTGCTCCTCTATCAGATTATGGACACACTTTTCCACCGCTGCGGGCACCGTGCTGTTCCATAACGACAATTGTTTTCGGTCAGTTGCCGAAAGGAGGTCAATATCGGCGACGGTGAGAGGCTGGCCTTCAGAAATCGATGCTAGCTGCTGTATGATATGGGATAGCCGCTCTAGCATGGCCTCGACGTTCCATTCACTAATAGCTGTCGAATCGAAGATAGCCTCAAACTTGGCCCCGTCATTAGTTAAAGAACACGTAAGATTTAAAGCATATGTAGAGAAACTTGTCGCTTCCGAATCACTTGTCCATTGGCCAAGGTCGTCGCCGGCCAGTTCGGTGATATCCGCCTCCTGGCTAGGCTGAATAACAAGTAGCGATTGGAACTGGCAAGCGCGATTGGCCTCTTCGGATATCTCTCGAATCCTTTGCAGTCCAGCCTGCTCATATGGGATCATTTGAATAGACTGCTCCTGCACCTGACGGAGGTAGGCAGTAACTCCTTGGGCTGCAACTGTCTGAATTCGAACCGGTACCGTTGCAATAGTAGGTCCTGCCAAGTCCTCAATACCTGCGACATCTGCTTTGCGTCCAGTAACCGTGGCGCCAAAAACAACATCATTTGTCCCTGAGTCGGCCGCTATTACTAGCGCCCAGGCTGCACGAATAAGATTAGCTACGGTAATGGTGGGATCTGCAACAGGCGGCAGTTGAAGTTGACGCTCTGCCTTGCTATTGGCTGCCATGATTGTACCTGGTGGCGTGGGGAACGGCGTAGAATCATAACCTTTGAATTCCGACCGCCAGTAGTCGTTGAGGACCTCTGTATCTATACTCTTTAAATATCTGGCAAAGTATTTAAAGTCTTTAAAGGCTGGTTGCGGTAGTCCCTTATATATTTTGCTGATAAGCTGAGGGACCCGGGCAAGAAATTGCCCATCGTAAAGTGCGTGGTGTATTGTCCAAACAAACCAGGCACGCTGTGATTGTTGCGTCTGGTCTTGGACTATAGCATAACGAGAAAGAGGTTGGCCAAGGCCCATCAGCTCTACAGCATCCTGCTCGAGGAACGTACTAAGGGCGTCTCCGCTGGCCCATTGAATATCCTCCCTGATTATCACCTGAACCAAGCCAAATTGCTCGTCATGAATAATTCGTGTACGAAGAATAGATAAAGTTCGCACAGCTTGCTCCCAGGCATAGCGGAACATGTCCAGGTCGACATGTTCTGGTAGGGCCACGACGATTCGCTCGACGTAGGCGCCGGAGGACTGAGTGGTCAATGAAAGAAGGCCTTCCTGCAGTGACGTGCAGGGGTATGCATCTTGGATTAGACTTGGCTCGAGATGGCAAGCAGCCGCAATGCGACTACGAGAGAGTGCCACGTCTTCGCCAAGAAGGCTGAACTCCTCAATCTCATCTGGTAGCTCTTCCTCCATACGGGGGGATAGACTTGCCAGTGCTGATAGACGCGGGTTGCGGAAAATGTCTGCAACAGAGATTGCTATGCCGATGCGACGGGCTTCTGAAACTAGCCTCATCGCCGAAATAGAGTCGCCACCTCTTTGGAAGAAACCGTCGTCAGCGCCGATAGAGGCAACATCGATGTTGAGAATGCGGGCCCAGACCTGCTGTAGTGCTAGCTCTTTTACTGTCGCTGGAATGCGCTTGCTGGGTCGGGATGAACTGAGCATCTCCGTGAGCTGTTGTGTTGATAGACTATCTCCAGAAGAGCTGAGGTCCACCATGCCGGAGCTATTCATCGGCAGTTCGCTCATGGTAAAGTAAATCGCGGGGATCATGTGTGCTGGCAGCCGCTCCGCTAACTCGTCATCTAATGCGGCAGAGACAGTCATTACTTGGACCCCCTTGGGTCTATCCGGTGATTGTTCCATGAGTAGGAATGCCGCCAACATAGAACTAGCTTCATCGCCGCTCGGCATCATGACTTTGGCGATAGCCCTTTGGACTCCCGGAATACTGGCCTTGACTTGGTACTCGACCTCTGCTAGGTCCACGCGCTGCCCACGGATAGTGACTCGACTATCGTGACGTCCAAGATATACGAGGCTTCCATCTTCACTGTACCGGACCAAGTCACCTGTCTTATAAAGACGGCCGCGCCGGCCTTTGTGGCCAGGAGCACCGCGTAGAAGCCAAGCCGGGTCTTGAATGAATGAAGTTGCTGTCTTGTCTGGATTGTTCAGGTAACCTTGTGCCAGCACTGGACCTTCAATGACAAGCTCACCAATAGCCCCTGGCGGCGCCAGTCGATTTACATCTCCCGTTACCGTAACCCAGAACACCGCACCCACAGCCGTGCCGAGGGAGAAGCCGCCCGACATGGCCATGCCGAACTTGTGAAGTGAGCACATTGTGCTTTCTGTATGCCTGTATGCGTTGCAAACCAAAGCGCAATGCATCCACCGACCAAAGACTTGATCCTCGCAGGTCTCACCAGAAAGGATTACTGTTGATAGTGATGGAACCCGGCTAGGTTCAAGCAGCTGGCTCACAGTGGGAGTTAAAATAGAGAAGTTGACGTTGTTGTCATTGATGAAGCTTTCCAGTTGGTTAAGTCTCTGGTCTTCCGACGGCACGCAGACGCAGCCTCCGTGCGCAAGGGTTGCGAAAATCTCCAACATGCTGACATCAAGGGAATATGGCGAGTATTGCAATAAGCGGGTGTGGGTGCTAATCTTCATCGATTGTGCGTTACTCACACAACTAGTAGTATTGGCCTGATGGTCCACGACCACGCCCTTCGGTTGTCCGTCATTTCCAGATGTGAACATGATGTAAGCTGTCATCTGTGCCTCAACAGGTGCCAGAACTGCACTTCGCGGCGGCTCTGGTAGAATTGCAACGTTCTTCTCACTGACGGCAACGACGACTCGGCTAGGTCTTGTCATCATCTTGGCAAACTGAGCCGAGGTAACAATCAGCTTAGCACCAGTCTGCGATACAAGGCGCTCTCTTCGATCTGCTGGTTGCGAAGGATCGATTGGAACAATAGCACCACCAGCCATCATCACCGCCAACATGGCGACAATTGTCCACCTTGATTTTTCGAAAAGCATAGGCACCAATGGCTGCTGCTTACCAACTCCAAGACCTACCAGGACATGCGCCAGGCGTGTTGACTTTTCGTATAGCTTGGCATATGTGAGCTTCCCGTCCCAGGCGCAGACAGCCATCTCCTTGGGCTGCATAGTTGCCTGTTCTCCTATTAACGTGTGTATACATCTCTCTACTGCCGCGGGCACTTTGGCATTCCTCGACCATATCTGCTCATAATCGGCGGCCGAAAGAGTATCGATATTGGCCAAAGTGCTGTCTGCGGTAGTAGATGCTAGCTGCTGTATCACACAGCCAAGACGCTCCGTCATGGCTTCCACAACCCACTTGCTCACAACGGCCGGGTCGAAAATAGCATCAACCATTACGCCATCAGCGTTCATGGTACAGATTAAGTTAAGGGCATATGACGCAAAGTTCTGAATATCCATGTCGCCTGCCCAGGTACCGAGTTCTTTATCCAACGCATACGCGTCCTCCTCTTGAGCTGGCTGAATAACAAGGAGGGTTTGAAACTGACAAGCAAGCCGGGCCTCTTGAGAGACATTCTTAATTCGTTGTAACCCTGCCTGCTCGTAGGGGATCATCTTGATAGATTGATCTTGAACCTGGCGAAGATACGCTGTCACAGTCTGCGTCTTGTGCAGTTGGACTCGTACCGGCACCGTGGCAAACGTCGGTCCCGCAATATCCTCAACGTCAGCCAAATCCGACTGGCGCCCAGTGACTGTAACTCCAAAGACGACGTCAGCCGAGTTGGAACAGGCTCCCATAGTTAACGCCCAAGCGGCTCTGACAAGGGAAGCTGCGGTAATGTCAGACTCTGCCCTGGGCGGAAGATGAAGCTGACGCCGGACAACAGAGCTAGCTGTCACGGGCTCTGATGTTAATAGAGACGCAGGGAATGGTGTAAACTCATAGCCGTTGAATTCAGACCGCCAGTATGTATCCACAGCATTCATGTTCATGTTCTTGATATATCTTGAAAAGTACTTGAAGTCTTTGAAGCTTGGCTGCGGCAAACCTTTGTAAATTTGATAGGCGAGTTGAGGGATCTGGCCAAAGAACTGGCCATCGTACAGAACATGGTGTATTGTCCAGACGAATAAGCAGCGCCTTTGCTTTGACGACCCTTCTTCTTCCACGATGATAGCATAGCGGCAGAGTGAGTGGCCAAGGCCCATTGGCTTGGCGGCATCGTCTTGGATGAATTTATCAAGGTTATTTCCGCTACGCCACTGTATGTCTTCATGAATGACTGCCTGGACAAGGCCGAGCTCTACATCTTGAATGATGCGTGTGCGTAGGATTGGTAGCCTTTGTGCGACCTGTTCCCAAGCATGACGGAAAAGATCCATGTCCACATTTTCCGACAGAGTTAGAACAGAGCGTGTAGTATAGGCACCGGCAGATTTGGCCGTCAGAGAAAGTAAACCTTCTTGTAGTGGCGTACACGGGTATGCATCATCGATCAGCTCTGGGCTGAGATCACAAGCGGCAGCGATACGGTTGCGATATTCCTCGTTGCCATCTCCGCCTAGCAATGAAAATGGCTCCAGCTTCTCTGGTGCTTTGGACGAAACGCCAGATGATAGGCATGCTAGAGCAGATAGTTGGGGATTACGGAAGACCTCAGCAACGGAAAGGGCGATATCAACGCGGCGGGCTGCTGCCACAAGCCGCATCGTTCCGATCGAGTCACCGCCCAAATGGAAGAAACTATCATCGGCGCCAATAGTAGCTGCATCGATATTGAGGATACGTGCCCAAATCTCCTGGAGTACAAGCTCTCTCGCCGTAGAAGGCTTGCGCTTGTTGCGGCTGGATCCGCTTAGTTTCTCTGCAAGCTCTCGCGTCGAGAAGTTGGCTCCGATGGCGCGAAGCTGCCGGCGATCCGTCTTTCCCGAGCTGTTCACGGGCATCTCTTTGAGAGTAAAGTATATTGCTGGGTCCATGTATTTCGGTAGTCGCTCTGTCAAGTACCCGTCTGCTGTAGCAGAGATCCTTAGCACGCGGGCTCGTAAATCCCCGTCCTCATACGAGTTGCTGTTGGCAGTCTCTTCCAATATATAATCCTCCTGCATTAAGAGGAATGCAACCAGTGTAGGGCTTGCGCCATCGCCAGCTGGTAGAATAACCTCGGCGGCAACCTCACGGACACCATTAACGCAAGCCAGGATATGGTTCTCGACTTCTCCCAGCTCTACACGCTGTCCACGAATCTTGACTTGGTTGTCCTTGCGGCCAATGTAGTTCATGCTACCATCGGCGTTATATCGCACCAAGTCACCCGTTTTATAGATGCGGGCTTGTCTACCGGGGTGGCCAGGAGCGCCATCCAGCAGCCAAGACGGATCTTGGATGAAGACGGCGGCGGTCTTTTCTGGGTCATGTAAGTAGCCTTTGCCGACAATCGGGCCCTCTAACAAGAGCTCTCCGATGGCTCCGACAGGGACAAGCCGATTGCTGTCAGTTGCATCAACCACCCACGTTACTGATCCTGCAGCATAGCCGATATTGGTCGCCTCATCTTCCATGGTGAAGCTGCGCTTGACCATGGACTGTGGGGTACATTCGGACGGGCCGTATGTAACGACGGCATACATACCGTCGTGCCAACCAGTCACATCTTCTTTCTTGGCAGGCTCTCCACCCATGATAACGACCTTCAAGTCGACCAGCAGGTCACGGTCCAACGTCCTGACAATAGATGGTGTTATATCGACCAACTCTGCCTTGGACGCTACCAGTGAGCCAGTCAGGTTGTTTTTGCGGTCCCAGTCGGACGGCACAACAAGACAGCCGCCGGTGGCCAGGCTAAAGAAGATGACCTCGATTGACGCGTCGAATGAATAAGATGCAAACTCATACGACCGCATAGACTTGACAAATCCTATTCGACCGGCTTGGTAGACGGTAGCAGAGCAAAAGGCACGATGTGTAACAAGCACACCCTTGGCCTTCCCAGTGCTGCCGGAAGTGAAGATGACATACATGGTAGAAGAAGGATTCTGTTGGATAATAGGGACAACGGATGATTCTGGGGGGCTACCAAGATAGCCGGGCCCAATGCAAACGGTTGTCTCCGCAAGATCGGGGTGTGTTGCGGCTTGCTCAATAGATGAAACAACCAGTTTGGACCCAGTCTGCTCAACGATGGAGAGAAGACGGGCCTCTGGCAGAGAAGGTTCAAGCATTACAAAGGCGGCGCCCGCCTTGAGCACAGCCAGCATTGCCACTACTGCCCAGCGTGACTTTTCGAAGCACAGCGGCACAATGGCATCGTCATCGGCACCGACTCCAAGGCTCATTAGTCGTTGAGCTAGTCGAGACGACAGGTCTCCGAGCTCGGCGTAAGTTAGATCTCCGTCCCAAGAGTTCACGGCGATTGCATCGGGTTGGCTTTCAATATATTCGTCAACCATGTCATGGATGCATCGCTCCACTGGTTCTGGCACCGTCTTGTTCCAGTCCCACACCTGCTTCAGGTCCTGGGGCGTTACCATGTTGAGTTCCGCAAGTGTCTGTTCGGGTTGTGCCTCGGCGAGTTGATGCATCAGACTTGCCAGTCGTTCAAGCAATTTATGCACCAACCATGGCTGGATCATCCTCGAGTCAAAGGTAGCCGCCGCATTAATCTTGTTCGCACCGAGTTCTACTTCCAGCACTAGGCCATATGATGAAAAGCTTTCCGCGGCGGCTGCTGATCCTCCCCACTCCCCAAAGACACTGTCGTTTGTGGAGAGGTTATCGTCTACAGGCTGAATCACCAGTAGATTTTGGAACTTGCAGCACTGCATGGTTTCAGCGTTAAACTTTGCAATCTGCTGGAGACCCGTCTGTTCGTAGGGGATCATGTCCACGGCGACACCTTGTGTCTGGTCCAAGTATGCAGCCACTGACTGCTTCAGGTGAGTACGAATTACGACAGGAACCGTCGCTATTGTTGGTCCAACGATATTTTCGATGCCAGCTACCGGCGCATTTCGTCCAGTGAGAGTGACGCCAAAGACCACATCGTCTGAGCTCGTGTGGTGGTGCAGGACCAGGGCCCAGGCTGCTCGGATCAATGTTGATAGAGTGATGTTGCCGGGCGTGTTGGGAACCGGGCAATCAAGGTCGACAGCTGAGTCTGCCCTAGGTTCGTGCAGTATAGACGTCTGCAAAGGCAATGGCGGGAACGTCTCCGGGTTGCAGCCTGCGAACAGTGACTCCCAGTACTTTCTTGCGCCGTCTCTGCGCTTCATTGCCACGACGTCTTTGACAAAGAGGCTGAAGCTCGGCCGCTGGACGATCTGAATGCCTTGGTATGCATCCTCAGCCGTTTTCAAGATCTGCGGTAGCGACCAGCCATCGTAAAGTGCGTGATGGATGGTCCATACAAACCATCTTTGCTGCGTGGATGCATCGAATATCAATGCATAACGGGCCAGTGGTTGGTCAAGACCCATCAGTTGCGATTGATCTTGCTTGAGATAGCCGTCTAAGTCGTCTGCCTGGATCCATCGAATTCCGTCCTTTAGCACTACTTGGAGTAGGCCAATCCGTTCATGCTGGACGATTCGCGTACGAAGAACCGGCATCGCTTGCACGGTTTGCTCCCAGGCCTGACGAAACGTGTCCAAGTTGACCTCCAAAGACATTCTCAAGACCTTTTGCCATACATAGGCACCGGGTTGTTTGGTTGTCAACGCAACAAGTCCCTCCTGAAGAGCAGTGCAAGGATAGACATCTTCAATCTGCGATGCATCAACCTTCAAGGTATCGGCAATATCATCGCAGCAGAGGGAAACATCCACAACATCCTCAATCAGGGAGAATTTTGGCGCATAATCCAGGGACTGGCCATTTTTATCTTGCGGGACTGCTATTTGGGCCATCTGCGCTAGTGTTGGATATCGGAAGATATCCGCAACTGAAAGCAATAGATGGTCCTCGCTGGCCTCTGCAATCAACTTGATGACGCCAATAGAGTCGCCGCCGAGCAGGAAGAAGCTATCGTCAAGGCCAATCGTTTCAGTCAAATTGAGTACCCTAGCCCAAAGTCGTTGCAGTTGATGCTCAACGTCGGTAGTGGGCTGGCGTTTCTCACCACTATTGCTTGTCTCTAAGAGCTGCCGAGCCGAAAGACTGGCGCCCATTTCACGTAGGCGTTTTCGATCAATCTTGCCGGAGGTTGTGGTTGGCATCTCTGTAAGGGTGAAGTACGTGCTGGGCATCATGTAGCCCGGCAAACGATATCTCAGCTGGGTCTCCATGTCGGCCGATATCGCCATGGCTTCTATATCACTTCCTTCCTTCTCGATGCATATAAAGGCCACCAGCATTGGACTTGAGCCATCTCTTTCTGGCACGATGATCTCTGCAACAATGTGACGGGCGTCCGGTATGCATTCCGCCAAGCCGTGCTCCACCTCTCCCAGCTCTATCCGCTGCCCGCGGATCTTGACCTGGTTATCCTTGCGGCCCAGGTAGCTCAAGCTGCCTTGTTCGGTATATCGTACCAAGTCACCGGTTTTATAGACTCGGCCGTGGCGACCAGGTATGCCGCCGGTGGAGGCGCCACACAAGAGCCAGACAGGATCCTCGATATAAGCCGCGGCGGTTTTGACGGCATCGTGCAAGTATCCTCGGCCAACAATGGGTCCTTCAACCACAAGCTCGCCAACCGCACCAATGGGTAGTAATTTGTTGTGGTCATTGGCGTCGACAATCCAGCTCACCGAGCCCACAGACTTGCCAATGACGACGGGTCTCTGCGAGCTGAGCTCGTCCATTACAGCGAATACAGTAGTTTCTGTAGGACCATAGCCATTGTAAAGTTGTACTGGCGGCTGTCGGTGTTCCCATCTCTTAACATCGTCTTCAGTAACTCGCTCTCCGCCCAAGATGAGCGTTTGGAGACTTGGCACGGAGGCAGGCTTTATGAGGCGCGCGACAGAGGGTGTTAAGAATGTCAGATTCACGCCCATGGCACTCATACTCTCTGGAAGGTTTTCAAGACGATCTTTGTCTGACGGAACACAAATACATCCTCCGTAAATAAGAGTGGTTATAATCTCCATTATACATGCATCAAACGTGTAAGCCGCAAATTGCAATACGCGTGAGGATGTGTCGAATCTAACCCTGGCGCCGTGATACCAGCAACTAGAGCTTAACGAGCGATGCTCAATTACCACACCTTTTGGCTCTCCGGTACTTCCAGATGTGAATAACATGTATGCAGCGGATGAAGGTGTTGGCATAATTATTGGAACAGCTCGCGATACAGGTTCCCATGCCGCCGCATCGCTGCCGCTAACAGTAACAACCTTGCGGCCAGTGCCAACCGGAATGGAACCTGAATATTTGGCAGACATCAGAACGATGGTGGCATTGGTCTGGTTAAGCAAGAGATTCTGTCGGCGCCGGGAGGAGTGCGCAGGATCAAATGGCACAAAGGAGCCGCCAGCTTTAAACACTCCCAACATGGCCACGATTGTCCACATGGATTTTTCGAAAAACAGAGGTACGAAAGATTCATGTGTGACGCCTAGTTTTATTAAGTGATGGGCTAGGCGCGTGGATAATTCGTCGAGCTCTTCATAGGATACTTGGCCATCCCACGCGGTGATTGCCGGCTCTTGTGGACGCTTCCTCACCTGTTCACCGATCAAGTCGTGAATACACCGCTCCACGCCGGGCACGCTGGTGTTTCTTGACCAGATTTCCTCTCGTTCAGAGGGCGTGAGCGTGTCAATGTTGCCCAATGTCTGATACGAAGCTCCCTCTCGTACCAGTTGTTGCATGACAAAGTCCAGCTCTTCCAACATCTTCTTCATCAGCCAGGGTTCAACTACCCTCGAGTCAAAGTTGGCATTCAGTTTCACACCATTGTTATCTGAGCCGCAGGTCAAAGTAAGCGCATATGAAGAAAAGTTGTCGGCGCCGGATGCCAATCGCCACTCTCCAAGGCTGTCAATGTCAGCCAGCCCTTCGTCCGGAGGCTGCACAACAAGCAGCGTCTGGAAATTGCATCCTCGCTGAGTGCCTGCGTCTATCTTGGCAATGCGTTGTAGACCAATATGCTGATACGGGATCATCTCAATGGAAGCATCTTGCACTTCGCGCAAAAACGCGGATACACATTGAGTTGGCTGGACATGGACCACAACTGGAACGGTAGCGATTGTTGGTCCGACGATATTTTCAATATCAACTACCGGTGCATTACGACCAGAAAGAATGGCACCGAATACGACGTCTGTGGAACCTGTGCGCTGCTGATGAACAATCGCCCACGCAGCTCGAACCAGATTTGATAGAGTAATATCGCTATGGGCTGGAAGACGCAGCGCACACTGGTGATCGGCAGTGGAATCGGCTTTAGGTTCTTGGATAGAAGTGGGAAGTGTTGGAAATGCTTGTGGTTCGCACGACGCAAACATCGATTGCCAGTATGCTTCAGTATCGTCTTCGCCGTGCTCCATGAGATACTTTACGAAAATGTTGAAGCCAGGGTTCCGCGGAAGCGTTTTGCCGTTGTATGCCTGATTGACTGAAGCCAGCACTCGTGGCAGAGACCAGCCATCGTATAGGGCGTGATGTATCGTGAAGACGAATTGCCCCTGACTGGAGGAACCGTCATTGATGAACGCATACCGCACCAGTGGCTGGCCTAGACCCATGGGCAGCGATAGATCATCCCGTAGGTATTTGTCAACATTGCGTGCTTGAACCCATCGAATTGACGCTTTTACGACCACCTGAAGAAGCCCTAGTTTGCTATGCTGGACAATCCGCGTCCGAAGAATTGGGTTGCTCCGTACCGTTTGTTCCCAGGCATCCTTGAACGCACTCATGTCAACATCTGACAAATCCAGGACTTGCTGCAAAACGTAATCACCCAAATTTTTAACCGACAGCGCCATCAGTCCTTCTTGAAGGGCGGTACAGGGATACATGTCCTCAATCATGGCTGTCTCAAGGTTCAGGCTCTTAGCTATATCCGCCCGCCAGGTCGGCACGTCCGGGCTACTGCCAAGAAGTGAGAAGGCAGGCACCTCCTCTATGTCACTACTTCTGGCTACTTCTGACAATACCTTGGCCAGACTGTGCAGTTTTGGATGCTGAAACACATCGGCAACGGAAAACTGCAGGCCCGTCAAGCGAGCTGCTGTAATCAGCTTTAAAGCAGAAATAGATTGACCGCCGAGGAGGAAGAAGTTGTCGTCCAGTCCAATGACTTCAGCACTGATATTGAGCACCTGAGACCAAAGCTGCTGCAGTCGGATTTCCACGTCAGTGGTGGGTTGCCGCTTCGTGCCCAAGGCAATGCCGCGCAACTCTGCCAGCCGTTGAACAGAAAACGAAGCGCCAATCTGACGCAATCGGTTTCGGTCTATCTTACCAGAAACTGTCATGGGCATTACCATGAGTTTGAAATAGACCGTTGGAACCATGTAACTGGGCAGATGGCGAGCAAGCTGTTCTTCTGCTTCAGGTGGCACAGTAACAATCCAGACGCCAACTGTATCATCCACTTGGGCCCAGGCACCAGCGGTATCAACAGCATCTGACTTGGCATCTTCAATGCATACAAAGGCTGCCAACATGGCACTTGATGCATCACTTGCTGGCAAAATGACTTCGACAGCAATCTGATGGGCATCCAGACACTGCTGCACCTGGTACTCAATCTCTCCCAGTTCAGCACGTTGGCCACGGATCTTGACCTGGTTGTCTTTGCGCCCAATAAAGCTCACACTACCATCTTCATTATATCGTGCCAAGTCGCCAGTCTTGTAAAGGCGAGCGTGGCGGCCGGGTGTTGCGCTGCGGTCAGGGATCTCAGGCACGCCTCGAGTTAGCCAGTAGGGATCTTGAATAAAGACCTCGTTTGTCTTCTCAGGACGACAGTGATATCCTCGACCAACAATTGGCCCCTCGATTAGCAGCTCACCCACCACGCCAATTGGCACAAGCTTATTGTGGTCACCAGCATCGACAATCCAGCTGACTGAACCGACAGCCTTGCCTATGCATCCCTGATCCACAGTATTCGAGTCCATGGTGTTCACCATGCATCCAATAGAACACTCAGTGGGGCCATAGCCATTCAGAAGTGTTCGCTGCTCATCACTCCACATGGTATAGTCGCTGTTTGCGACTCTCTCGCCTCCGAGGATCAGTGTCCGCAAAGTGGGTACGCTCGACGGCTCGATGTGACGTGCAATAGATGGCGTTAAAAAGGCCAGGTTGATCTGCATTGTATCAATGCATTGGGCCATATTGACCAAGCGGTCCTCCTCTGATGGTATACAAATGCAGCCTCCATATATAAGAGTTGTTAAAACATCCATCAAGGACGCGTCAAAGGTATAGGCGGCAAACTGCAACACACGCGAGGACGCATTGAAGCCAACCCTACCTCCATGAGCCCAGCAGCTAGTTCCTACTGACTGGTGCTCGATTAATACTCCCTTTGGCTCTCCAGTGCTTCCAGACGTAAATATCATATAGGCAGCGTTGGTTGGCGTGGGCGGAGTCAGAGAGGCTGCACTTGTCTTCGCCCATGCTGAAGCGCTTTCAGGGCCAACAGAGATAACTTCGCGATTTGCGCCAAACGGAAGATCAGCATACTTTGGTGAGGTAAGGATTAAAGATGCGTTAGTCTGAGCTAGAAGACCCTCTCGGCGACTTGGGGCCTGCGACGGATCCAAGGGGACAAATGCGCCTCCGGACTTAAGCACTCCCAATATAGCCACCACAGCCCACATCGACTTTTCAAAACACATGGGCACAAACATCTCCTTGCCAATTCCCTTGGATTGAAGATGGGCAGCCAAGTTTGTCGATAATTGGTCTAACTCGGCATACGTCGCACTGCCGTCCCAGGCGCATATGGCTGGTGCTTCTGGATGCTGGGCTGTCCGATCGTCAATCAGTTCATACACACAACGCTCAATGCCTGCTGGCACATTGCGATTCCAGTCCCATAGGCGTTCTATGTCCGAAGGGCCTATGATTTCGAGATCGTGCACGCTCCCATGCGGTTGCGTGGTGAGGGCAGACATTGCGACGCTCAGGCTTTCCGCAACCCGCGCTGCTTGCGTCGCAGTCATGATGTGGTGGCTATATGATACTGCGACGGCAAGTCCTGTGTCGCTGGCGACAGCGTTGATGTGTATGTCGTACTATTTGAGTGCTTTAAGTCAGTTTGGTCTGGACAGGGAGAAAGATGCGTAACGGGCGGCATCATCACCGGCGTTTAATTGACTTACCTCTGTTGGATCCAGTTGATCTATATACTCAAACTGGATTTCGCTGGCATCCGCTTCATCTTTCCCGCCATGGTTTTGGAAAGAGACTCCGCTGTTAAAGAGGGCAATGGCTCCAAGTTTCAACTCAGAGTGGACGGCAGACAGCGGAAATGACTGGAATGGCAAGCTCTTCCAGGTGTCTTCCTGAACATCTCGCAGCAGCTCAAGCACAGTTCGTGATGTGGCGAGGTCGACACGGCACGTTAACATGCCGATCAAAGGGCCAACAATATTATCTACGCCATCAATAGGCAAGTCACGTCCCGAGGAAAGATTTCCGAAGCATGTCATGGTGGAGCCGCTGTATCGACTTAAGATGAGTGCCCACGCCGCCTGGACGACTGTCGCCACCGTCACCTCCCATTCTGCGCAGAAGGCAAGTATATTCTTAGCATCCAGATCTGGCACGCGGATGACGCTGTGCCCGGCTTCTTCCTTCTGACTGCCATCTCGTAGCTGGGGGAAGTAGCAGGGCTCTACGCCCGTCAGGTACTCGGACCAGTATCGGCGGCCTCCTTCGTATGGCTGCTTGGCCAGATGAGAGATGTAATCTTTGTATAATGGAGCAGCTGAATCGATACTACCACTGTAGGCTTTTTGCAAATCGGATAACAGGATATTCTGGGTGTAGCCATCCGAGATGGCGTGGTTCATTTCAAGGTAGAAGTACGCCGATGTATCGTTAGGCCCTTGGCACAAAGTAACATGATGCTGGAGGTCTCCCCCTTGGTAAGTGTTGAGGCCGTACCGCTGTCGGAAGGCCTCTACACTGGAGGCTCCATCGCTGTTTGGAAGGAATGTGATGCTGGGCTCGGGGTTCTTTAGCAAAATATGCGTGAATTGGGAAGTTCCCGGAAGCGTGTCGACAATCAGGGCACGGAGAAGACCGTGTCGCTGAACAACACGTATCCAAGCATCTCGTAGCCGATCCAGATCAACCTTAACCTCGGGTCGAGTAGGCACAACTTCTAGCAGCAAAGCCACGCGATAGTTCTCCGCGCTTTTGGCTTGGCTTATCAGCATTCCCTCTTGCATTGGTGAGCAAGGGAATACATCTTCAACATCAATAGCTTGGAGAGCGTCCAGCTGAGGTAGGAAATTTTCTCGGAATCTATCGAGGTCACTGTAGTTCTTGAAGGCTAGCGGAAAATCCTCAAGGGTCCACTCCGTAGCCCGGCCGGGGAGAAGGTCGGCCATTTGTGTCAACGTAGCCTCGTACTGCCTGAGCCAAGTTGTGACACTGGCTTGATGCTGGATATCCTTTGGATATGTAAAGGTGACGTCTAGATAACCCTTTTCAACCGTTACAGAAACTTCAAACAGCGAGATTCTTCTTGTCAATGAAGCGGACTCGGGACTGGAGCCGTCTGGCAGGGAGAGTATTTCAAAGAGGGCATCTTCACGCTCAAGCTGCTGATAGGCACCGACGTAATTGAAGGCAATTTCCACAGGGAACAATGACATAAATTCCTCGGCTGAATTCTCCTCAATAAACCTCGATGCGAAATAGAGCCATCCGTTTGAATTGAAGCTGCGAATGCAATCCTTGGTCTGGCGAACTGTCTCCCGCAAGTCTTTTTCGGCACCATCAGCAAGCTGAACGGGAAACGCGGTTGTGAACCATCCAATTGTACGCGAGAGGTCAATGCTGCTATCCCACGGCTCACGGCCATGGCCTTCGCAGAAGACGGGTGGCAGGCTGCGATCCGTAAACGCAAGACCAAAGGAGCGAATCATTGCCGATACAAAGAGTTCAACCGGTCGTGTCTGAAAGGCATCGTTGCATGAACCCATGAGCTTGGCCGTCACATCTCTCTCAAGTCGGAAACCCTGGCTTGTGGTGCCTCCCCAGAGATTGCGAGCCGCATCAATCCCCCAGTAGTCGAGCATTGGCGACCTCAACTCAAACGGGAGAGCGTATTCAGAAGCAGATTGTTTGGCAGCAAATTCCGCCTGCAAAGTACACCATGTCTGGAATGTAACGGCAGGCAGAGCAGCTATCGATCCCACGGTGAGCAGCTCCTCCAAATCCTGGAGGAGGATTCTCCATGACATGAGGTCAACGATGAGATGATGAATGCCCAAGAAAAGACTCTGACCATTAGTATCGTCGAAAAGGGCTGCTACAAAGAGCGGACCTCGCTTAATATCCAGCTTCTCGCGCCCCTGGGCAATGGCATTGGCCATGTCGCTTGGGCTTAGATTCCTGAAATGGGAAAACTCGTAGGGAGCAGTGTTATCAATACTGATGAATTGCTCTAAACGGCCTCCTTGCCCTGGGCGGAAACGAGCACGGAGCATCGGATGATGGTCGATCACGGCGCTACATGCCTTCTCAACGGCGGCCGGTGTTATGCGCCGCGAGACTCGAAGAAGAAAGCATTGGTCAAAGCACACTGCCGGATCGGGCTGTAAGTGTAAATAAAGCTCCTGAATGGGGCTCAGCGAGAATGGGCGACCAGGTTGCTCGTCTGCTGTTACAGAGGGCGATTGAGTCATGGTGAGTGTCGATTTATCGGACAAGAGACGCCCAATAGTCTTTTTTCGAAGCACATCAGACGTCGAGATGTTGAGCTGAAGAGATCGTGCAGCAGAGGATACTGACATTGCGCTTATACTATCACCCCCAAGGCGGAAGAAGCTATCGTCCAGTCCCACAGAGGCTGGGCTGATGTTAAGCACGCGTGCCCAGAGCTCTTGCAGCTTGAATTCAAGCTCCGTGGTCGGCTGGCGTTTCTTTGCGTTGCTATTACTATTCATATCCGCCAGTTGTTGGGCTGAGAAGGACTGTCCCATCTCTATTAGTTGTTTCCGATCAGTCTTGCCGGATATTGTCTTAGGCATCTCCGCTAGAGCAAAGCAGACACTCGGAATCATGTACGATGGCAAGCGGTCGGCGAGCTGATACTCCATCTCAATAACCCGTATACTACCGCCGTCTTGGATTTGGTCGGTATCCAAGCATAGAAAAGCCGCCAGCATTGGCTTCGAGTCTTTTCCTGCTGGCTTGATCACTTCCACGATGACCTCGCGTGCATCCTGCATACATTCTCGCAGATGGTGTTCTACCTCTCCTAATTCCACGCGCTGTCCTCGGATTTTAACCTGCGAATCCTTTCGGCCGACGAAGATTAAGCTGCCGTCCTCGCTATAGCGGACCAGGTCACCCGTCTTGTACAAGCGACCCGAGCGACCTGCCTGCTCCAACCAGCGAGTATGCTCGAGAAACACGGCCGCTGTTTTGCGGTCATCGTTCAAGTATCCTCGACCAACAATCGGGCCTTCAATCAATAGCTCGCCTACGGCGCCCATTGGAGCGAGCTTGTTGTGGTCTTCTGAGTCGACAATCCAAGTGACGCAGCCCAGGGGAGTGCCTATATGGCCTCTCTTTTCTGCCAAATTGACATTATCCAGCTGGCCCGTGGTGCAGGAAATGGCACACTCGGATGGTCCGTAGGTGACATAGACCTGTTTATCAGGTGCCCATTGCCTGATATCTGCATCCGCCAGCTTTTCTCCTCCCAGGACGATGGTGCGTAGCGTCGGGACGGCTGATGGCTGGATAAGTCGCGCCGTTGATGGCGTCAAAAGGGTTAAAGTAACCTTCATCGAGTTCATACTTTGACCAATATCACGCAAGCGGTCCTCATCAGACGGAATACAAACACAGCCTCCGTAAATAAGCGTCGTTAATGTCTCTTGGATGGAAACATCAAATGTATACGCCGCAAATTGATAAACACGACTTGTGGTTGTAAATCCCATTGCAGTTCCATTATAGCGGCAACTTGTGCTTACGGATCGATGCTCTATTACTACGCCCTTGGGTTCGCCTGTGCTACCAGATGTAAAAATTAGGTATGCAGCTGATGTCGGATTCGGTGGCACGCGAATAGAGGCTGCTGCTGCTGTTGCATTTCCCCATAACGAAGTATTGTGATTGCCAACAGCAACAACAGTACGACCTTGACCAAAGGCCGTCTCTGCGTAGTTTTCAGACGCCAGGACGACATGCGCGTCAATCTGGTTAAGAAGGCCGTCTCGCCTGCGGACTGCCTGCGTTGGATCGAGGGGAACAAATGCACCTCCGGCTTTGAGGATGCCCAGCATGGCTACCACGGTCCACATCGATTTCTCAAAACACATGGGGACAAATACACCAGGCTGAACCTTGAAATTTGTTATGAGATGATGAGCCAAACCCGTTGAAAATTCATCCAGTTGACGATATGTGAGAGTGCCGTCCCACGAGCATACGGCCGGCGAATCGGGGCTCTGAAGAGCCTGGCCTTGAACAAGTTTGTGAATACACTGCTCCTCCGCTGCGGGAACTTGGCTGTTCCAGCTATAAATTTGTTGTTGTTCTGCAGCCGTCATTGTCTCAATTTCTGCTACAGTCTTTCCCGACGTTGTTGTAGACTCAGCCAACTGACCCATCACTAGGCCCATTCGCTCCAATAGCCTGCTCACTAAGGATGTATCGATAGATTGGGGATTGAAGATGGCCTCTAGTCTGATGTCCTCGTCCAAGAGGTAGCACTGCAGCATCAGCGCGTACGTTCCCACCACCTGCTCCTTCGACGAGGTTTGCCAGCTTCCAACCAACGGATCTGTACACAAATCGTTTTCAACTGGCTGAACCACGATAGCAGTTTGAAACGCGCATGCGCGCTGCGTGTCTTCGTTTATCGCGGCAATGGCCTGGATGCCCATTTGCTCATATGGTTTTCTCTCAGCTGCTCCACGCTGTATTGCTTCCAACAAGGTGTATATCGGCTGTGTCTTGCCGAAGCGGACACGCACAGGGACCGTGGCGATGGTAGGTCCCGCGATGTCCTTTATGCCGTGTAGTTGTGCGTCTCGTCCAGAGACGGTCATGCCAAAGACTACATCATTCGACCCCGTATGGCCAGCCGCAACCAGTGCCCAAGCCGCCGAAATGAGTGTCGAGTTTGTGATGCCCGGAGGTCGTGTCTGTGGCCTGCGGAATAGGTGTTCCGTCTTCAATGCTCTCGTGGGCTCGGAGGTAGGTGGTGGGGCTGTCGGAAATTGTACAAAATCGTTTCCTTGAAGGATTGACTGCCAGTACTGTTGAGAATCGTCGCAGTTCTGCGCCAAGACATACTGAACAAATGAGCTGAAACCTCGCGGCTCCGAAAGCTGGCTGCCATGGCAAGCTTGGTTGACCATGCTGCTGATTTGAGCCAAGGACCAGCCATCATACAGAGCGTGGTGGATTCGCCAGTCAAACAGCGTCTTTTCGTTATCAAGTTCAATGATTGTGTAGCGGGAAAGGTCTTGTCCAAACACCTGCCCAATAGTTTCGTCTTCAGGGCCAGTCGTCTGGAGCTGCCCTGTCCTTATCCACCGTATTTTCTCCTTCATGACGACTTGTAATAAGCCTAGTGTAGAGTGATGCACGATTCGCGTGCGCAGAATTGGCATTCTGCTCACGACCTCGTTCCATGCGGCGCAAAATGTATCCAGAGACACGCCAGATGCCAACTCGAAGGTGGCGTGCATGACATAGTCGCCAGCTTGCTTCGTGGTTAAGGACAAGAGTCCCTTCTGTATTGGCGTACACGGATATACATCTTCAATCAATTCGCCTCTGAATCCGTATTGCGACTCAATTTCTTGGAGAATTTCAGCTTTGGCTGTGCCCAACAAGGAGAATGGTGGCAGATGGCCATTTGCGTGGCTCGCCTCCGAAAAAACGTTGGCTAGCATGATGTGTGGTGTTGGTGGGCGTGTTAGTTTGTGTGCCGTTGTAGCTTTGTTGGATAAACAAAATGTCAATGAGGTGTTGTCGATGTTTGAGTGAGTCGCGTACAATGCGATGTATGGCTCGCACGCACTACGTCATCCGAACAAAGAAGACTTGAGGAAATTATACGAAGGGAACGTTAGAGAAACTTCAATTTGTCTTAGATAGTAACAGGGTTAACCGCGACTAAGGGACTGTGCCTAGTAAATCCAGGACTATACTACGCGGAATACTCTGACATTACCCGCTAATTTTGGAGCTACGACATAATACCTACTATAGGGGTAGGGGTACTGATACCTGTACCAAGTGAGATTCAAATTATGTACCTAGGTAGCGTGGGCTGTGTAGACTGACGTCTCGAAGCCTTCAACACGCCAGCCGGCTTCCGACCGCGCTTGGCTTACCACTTCTCTTTGCTCCATCCACAGGTACTCAGCAGACACCCGGTGCCCAACGAAGTACGATAGAAAGTATTTTCTGCTCTTTTTTTTTCTATTTCCATTTTCCCACACATTCTCTTCATCCAACAAATAATACCATAACAAGAAAAGAAAACGTCAAAGAATTTTCTAATTTTATTACGGAGTACATACTACAGGTACCCAACGTTTTATTCTCAATGCAAAAACTCGAATGGCTATTTCCCATCCTACCCTATACCTTACTAGATAGCCGCGAAGTGCTTACTTTACTCCACCCTTTCTATTTCGGAGTCCGTATTTATAGCTACTTACCCAAAGGATGCTAGGTCGCAACAAATCGCGGGGTTGGGCGGTCTGCCCTGAAGCTACTGGGTAGTACTCCGTAACGCGCTACGTAGATACGGGAACACAAGGCAGATACAGGAACTCGTGGAATGGATCTAATCTACCACCTACTATTTCGAGTTAGCTATTCGACTAGCTAATCTATACCCCCCCCCCCCACCTCTCCCAACCCCCTTCCCCCTTGTCTCCCACGATAGAAGCAGATATAGCCAAATCTGTACTCCGTACGGAGTATTTCCAGCTCCAATCTTCAGGACTAGTACGGAATCCGGAGCACAGGTGACATCTTGAGGCTAGGGGTGGGGCGGAATCCTATCTCACCGTCCCACTGACCGCTAATTGTCCCGTCCAATGCTGCCGAGAGTACATATTTCCGCGTTGTCGATCCTTCTAACGACTCATTTTTAGAGCTAGCTGTCCGTAGCCTAGCTTCGGCTTCGCTTCGGCTTCCATTTGCTGCTCAACAGTCAGCTTGGCTAGCGCATCAAGGTCGCCAACATACTGCGCTTGGCTATATTGGACATGCAAGAATCCTTCAGGGCGATCGTAAACAAACCTTGTCCTTGCGCCAAGTTCCAGGTTCTCCCGTAGATGGCATCTCGTTGATATGATTCGTGGATTCCGTTTTGCATTGTGTAAGGTTAGTTTGCGATATTGGGACCTGGTCCGCAAATATGCTACGTGGCTTAGATACACGCCATGTCGTTGTGAAAGCGTCCTACTGCAATTGTACGCACAGGTATCTGCTTGTAGTTGTACAAAGGAATACCGGAATGTTTTAGATGCATGTTACAATTAAAAAAGGCCACATGCAGTGCCACTTACACGTAGGCATCCAACATACATAGGTAATCTCTCTTTAAGGCCTAACCCCACAAGTATAGCTAACAGAGTTTTCATTAGGTTTAATATTTTTGTATTCACTGCATATTTATTTATTTATTTATTTTTTCAATTTCTTTTATATATTGTTTTGTTTTCTTTTGAATATTAGCTTGCGCATATATTACTTTAGCTGCACCTTGTATTAAATATTTATGCTGGTATAGTATATTAACATTTAACATTAAAACAAACAAATAAAAATATTACTTAACTATCTAAACTACATTAACTATCAAAAAATAGCTTTTGTTTTAATATAATATAAAAGTATTATTATAAGATAATTATATATATTTTCTAAATTTTTTATAAAAGCCTACCATATTGTATTATAATAACTATAACTATAATAATATAAAAGGCAACACTAATTAAAATAATACATACGTTAACAAAACGTTTATTAATATTAGTATATAGCGTTAATATTGCTTCTTGCACCTATTTATAAAGGAATCTAATCTCTTTGGTTTATATATTATTACGAATTAACTTTTATAGTTGCGACAATAGGCCACAGGGTAGGCGGAGCTAAATAAACTAAGGACCAATAGGTTAATTAAGGACATTGTCTGTTTTAATTGAAAAAGCTAAGGAAGTTACCTTTTTAAAGTAATTCAAGAAAGCTAAGAAAATTAACTTTTTATTATAATTTAAACTATATAACTAAATATATAAGTTTATATTTTTACATTTATTTAAATAGTTTAAATAATTAGTTATTAATATTTTAAGAGTAAAATTAATCTTATCTTTAATCTACCAGAGATATAATAAGATTGCCTATTATACCCTGCCTACTTTATTAATATAAACTCTAATCTGGTTTATTACCTTAAGAAGCTACCTTATATTACCTGGTATAGATCGGTTCGTTACATGTACGGTCAAGCTAGCATTTTTACACCTCTCTTACGAGTACTCCGTATATGAGAAGCGAATTGCGAAATTACAGGTCGTCGCTTACGTGCTCAAGCAAGTGTATACTACTGCACTAAGATAGGTAAGTCCCGGTAATTGTTGGGCTAGTATACTGATACATTCTGTCTTCCACAACCTACCCCAGTATAGCGTCAACTTAGGCATAATCCAGGTCAGCACAAGAGATAGTAGCACTCCTTAACTACCAAGTATCTATGACATTCTCTCACAAGCTTGCAATGCGTTGAAAGCCCAGGTCAGTGGGGCTTGTAACGGGCTAACAAATTACTGTACACGCTTGTAGGGGTGTACTTATCTGTGCTGTATTGGTGGTGCGTTGAAGTCCCCAGTAGATCCTTGACTACTTGGCGGTACTTTAAGAAACTAGGATTACCAGAGCAAGAGTAGGGATTACCAGGTACTTTGAAGTGAGTGATTTTCATTACTGCAGAGAAGGCACCCGAGTCTAGACTTAGGAGCATCGAGGAGATAACAAGTACCTTTTCATCCATGCCTGACCATCAGCTATCATCCCTGTGAGCGAGTCGCTGTCAGTGTGCCTTGCTACAGGTAATGGGGGTTCATGTGTTTAGATCCTGGTCAATGTCGTAAGGAGGCAATTTGAATTCGTATGTAGTTCCGGTGTGTCATAGCTAACACTGTTCGGAGCTAGTCGTTGACAAAGAGATACTTATAGGGCCGTTGGAGACCTACCTTTCTTACTCTTTTCGCCAGGCAGAACATCCACGTTTATTCATTCCTGAATCCTCTACATTTATTTACTTCAGTTCAAATTCAAATCAAAATTCACCATGCATTACATTAAGTCCGTCGCTCTCATTGCGGCCCTGGCCCAATTTGGAGCTGCTCTTCCTGCTCCTGCCCGTTAGTATTCACCTATTATGTTACTTAACTTAGTTCATATTACTGATACTTCTCTCTAGCTGTGGCCGTCGCTGTAGCTGATGCCGACGACCAAGTCCGAAACAGCTGGACCAAGCGTGATGCTGATGATCAGGTCCGAAACAGCTGGACTAAGAAGGATGCGGACGACCAGGTCCGCAACAGCTGGACCAAGCGTGATGCGGATGACCAGGTCCGAAACAGCTGGACCAAGCGTGATGCTGATGATCAGGTCCGAAACAGCTGGACCAAGAAGGATGCTGATGATCAGGTCCGCAACAGCTGGACTAAGAAGGATGCGGACGACCAGGTCCGCAACAGCTGGACCAAGAAGGATGCTGACGACCAGGTCCGCAACAGCTGGACCAAGCGTGATGCGGATGACCAGGTCCGAAACAGCTGGACCAAGAAGGATGCTGATGATCAGGTCCGCAACAGCTGGACTAAGAAGGATGCGGACGACCAGGTCCGCAACAGCTGGACCAAGAAGGATGCTGACGACCAGGTCCGCAACAGCTGGACCAAGCGTGATGCGGATGACCAGGTCCGAAACAGCTGGACCAAGCGTGATGCGGATGACCAGGTCCGAAACAGCTGGACCAAGCGTGATGCTGATGATCAGGTCCGAAACAGCTGGACTAAGAAGGATGCTGATGACCAGGTCCGCAACAGCTGGACCAAGAAGGATGCTGATGACCAGGTCCGAAACAGCTGGAACTAAATACAAGACGTCGTTCTCTGATAATCTGTCGTCTTTAATGCCTCAGGTATCTGTCTTCTTGCACAAGCTACTAGAGCTCAGGGCAAAGTCAATGCACTATAGTTGAATCAAACTTATTAGACAGCCAATATCACAAGCCCTTCAATTTCGTCGCTCATATGCTCGTGGAATTACTAGACTGTAAATCATCGCGGACTCTGTCCTGTACTTGGATCAAGTATTGTTTTGTCATAGCTATTGTTTTAGTTGAGCAAGCTGTTGCACGGCAGAAGCATTGCCAATCTACACAGACAGCTTCCTCGCCCCTGACTAGCCACTGGTCTGAGTATAGCTCTTATTTCGTTATCATCAATTGTTAATTATCAGTTGTTCATACGGATGACCAGAGACTGTTTCTTATGATTCCTCTCTCCTCTTCTTTGCGACCAAGGCGCGGAACAAGTGTACACTCTGCCAGATAGAGTAGAGGCTGACATATGGTATACTTACATAAGGACGGCCCTAGGCTGTAATACGAAGATATTTGCGGTATGAAGCAATATAGAACCCAACATGCAACTTAAGTATTATTACTTTGCAATTAGTAACAGCCTCTACTCTAATTATGTATAATTTAGGTCTAATTATGTATAGTTTAGGTAGAAACAATGGCCGCGGAAACTGCCACAAATAGACCCACAACAAACAAGAACGTTGCCCTTGGCATAAAGGTTGTGAGACCTTCATCGTCCTTGGATCCAGAGGTGATGCCGTGGTGGTTCCAATTTCGGAACCCAAAACGATATTGACTTGGCGAATCTTCCACATGCATCTGAGAGTTATCCTGAAGCCGCCCGCAAAGATGAATAACTGGCTCTGTGGTTTCATTACGTGCTTGTTTGAGGAAAGGCATCAGCGACGTGCCACCAGTGCCAATAGCATCTTTTGAGCTCTCTGCATCGGGATTTATCAGAGCTGGTGGCAATGCAGTATCGCCAGCCGGATTCTCAGTCATCATTGATTTCCGCGATTCAACAATGATATAGCGGGAAACAACCTGGAGATGCTTGTCCCTTAACTTGCACAGCATTTCAAGGCAGGAGTCATACGCATTACATAGTGCATGATCAGACCGTCGACTCTCGACAAAAGATCGGATATTTGTGGCCTTGCCAACGTCTTCCAGGAAACGGCGATGAGGTCCAGGCATATATTTCCGCATTTCGTGAATGAAGTTATGCTGAAGTGGCTGGGGCCCTTTGGCCTCTTGCTTTGAAGTAGTGCTGCTGATGCCAGTTGGACGATGTTCTATGCCAAGGACTATGTCAAAAAACTGGATTAATGAGCTCTGAGCATTGCTAATGCCAGCGTATTGTCGATATTCTATGTGACCGCTGCCATCATCGTACCACACACCATTGGGTAGCCCTGAATTTTCCATTCCCTTGCTGCCCGCGAGGTAAGGTCGCACTTGATGGTAAAATACTCGGGGATCACAGCTTTCATATATTCGCTGTAGAATAGCAATTATTCCATCTATCGTTTCAGCGAGATGGTTCAGGCGATCAGTAACCACTTGGCTATGCCCGACATGTGCTGCTTCAATTGCTTCCAACATTGATTGTAGGCTGGGTGCTCCATACGCTTCTATGGCCATTGATATCTTGTAAAACCAATGCTCATCTACAGTACCCGTGAATGTTACTGCACACCCTAAGTTGGAGAGGTCACTCAGGGACCCAATTTTGCAATTTGGTACATAATTCCAGAGACAAAACCCAGCATAGGTGGCCATTGGAGGTAGTTCCAGGTGCTCACAGACTTGCTTCAGGGGGATTGTGATTGAAGGCGGGATGCGCTGAAAATATGTGAGTATTCTTCTGGTAAAAGGAGGAGAGGGCTCACTTCGGAAGGTTCCGCACCGCTCCAGACGTAACCCTGCAACATTGAGACTAGAAGGAGATATGCCCTCTTCCATTGTAACTCAGTCTGTAACAGTAACGTGGAGAGAATTGGTAAATCATCGACAGCTGCACGAAGTCCTCCATTCTGAAGGAGAGGCTGGAGACGGGCGAGAATACTCTCCCATTCGGCGTAGTAGGGATCTGCCAGCGCTGGCACTGGAGCCGAGGAGAGAAATCCACAATCCTTGGACAACCCATAGGCCGACAGAGGCGGAACTAGTTGAGCCATGATTTCGGAGCCCTTGGTCAGAGTTTGAAAACGCAACGGAGGCGGCGAATCACGAACCACGCATAGCGAATACTTGAACAACATTTACAAAGTGTAGACGTCGGGAAGATTGACAAATACAGCCGAGGCTTGTCACGCGATCGCCAGCGAACCGAAATTTCGCAGTCCGAAAATGCCCTGTTAGCGTCAGGATCAGCACTAAAATCTTATGTATATCGTGGACCGAATTTGACGTCCACGGGTATCTACTATTAGCTCTGGCGTGTACGCAGTAAATCTCCAAGCCTCATCCGTTGACCCGCCCATGATCGACGCTTGACGATTTCCCACTAAAAGGGTAGCTCAGTGTCCAAGTTTGGGAAAGGCTTGCACCACAAGCGGTGCCAATGTTGTAATTCGGCCACTCTAGTTGCTCTAGTGCGACGGATATGGTAAGCGCCGCAGAAGAAGTACCTCGCTTCCTGCTCCTGCACATGCCGTATCCTCGTATGCAGTTCTCTAACGGGAGGCGGTGCATAGGATAATCTGTGACTTGCCTTCATCGTATACACGCCAATTACAAGCAACTACAGGGGGCAGGCTTCCTGTATTGTGGTAGGATAGCGTACGGTAAGATTGACGTGGCCTGTGCAAGCCCTGTTTAATTCATGAAAATCCTTAGTTTTGGGAAGAGGGAGGGGGGGTAGGGGGGGAGGGGGGCATAGGTTTGCTGACGACGAAGGACGGAGAGTAGGTATGTAAAAAAATAAAGAATTGAGTAATATTGGTTCAAATAAAATCAATGTATATTAGTATGAAGTTATGCTATATTTTTGCGTGTGTGTCAGGGAAGGCTGTTGTATCACCTGCTTTAAGAGTTCCTTGCATTGTAATTGCCCATCTTGACCATAACGCCTGCTTGGCTCCCTATCCTATCTAGGGTATTATGAAAAACTCTATGAGGAGTACCAAATTAATTTGTTAACCGATGCTGTTGGTCACTGATGGACATGTGTCGTTGATTCAATTTTTTCTTTCTTTCTTTCTTTTTTTTGCTACCTCTGCGCCTAACAAACTCTACAACAAACCGTCCTAAAACTTGGAGAATTACCCACCACCTAGTAAACATGTTATTTTCTCTTAAAGAGAATGTGGCTCGGTCCAACTTCACTGCTGCTGTAATCCAATGAACCGCCAACAGTGCCCAAGCCAATCAATCCGGTGCAGCTAGTAAAGTTCACTCCGACGGTCGCCCAGCGAGAACTGAGAGATCCTTCGTGTCCACCATCCTAGATCGTGCCCACGTATCTAATTTTTCAAAGTTGACGCATTCATGGTCGCTGTACACTCGCGAGAAGGGTTTGCCCTCGAGCCACTGAAACGTCGCCAGAGTCACGTCGCCACGGCAAATGGCTGCTTCACGCCAATACTCGAGGCAGTGATCTATGTGAGTCTCCTCCCGAATATGTTCATCCTCCGTCATGTTTCCGTAATAGCGTTGTTGGTGAAAGTGGCGGCGAATCCGTTTCTAATCATATTCCGTCAGCCTTCATGACACTGGGAAGAATTGGAAACCACTTACTATGCAATGGAGCTCATGGTATACCGTCAGCTCAGCTATATATCCTGACCCGTCTTGCATGGCGATACTATCGTCGGGCAGGTGAGAGAGCTCGTCTGCTGAAATTTTGATGGTCATGGCTACAGCAGAATGTCAACCATTATGTGTCTTTTTCATGTTGGAGGAATATACAGCCCAAGACTTACGCTCCAGTAAATGAGCCCACGCTTTGTCAAACTCTTCAGTGGGCTCGTCGTTGGGCTCGCCAGTGAAAGGATTATTTTTGAGGTCTCTCATCAAACGTTTGGGTACGTATTCGATAGCTTCTGCGGCAGGAGCTACAACACTGTTCAGTCAAGCTGTAAATTTTAAATGGAAGTGAAAACACTCACAGTAAATCAACTTCGGTCGCACGCATTGTTCGCCAGATCGTCGTGCTTTCCAGTAAAGACCGAAGAAAAGAATATTGGAGAGGGCCAGAATCGCGTAGACAACATAATGACGCGGAGGCCATCGATGCTGTCGTCTGTGGCGAGGCATAGGATCATGGAGCCCGTCCATTTCTGACGACGAGGACAGTTCAACGTCCGAAGACGCCAGAGCCTCATGTTCGTACATCTTATTCTCCATAACGACAATCTAGAAATTTCGACTCAAGACTGAAACTCAATGAGAAATCGATGTAACTCGGTTTTCGGGCAAAGTGTTTTCATGCAACGACGAATTGATTGAGGGGAACGGAGAGGCTTCCTGGCAATGGTCGGCTAGATGCAAACTGCCGCCAGATGAGCTTTGTCTAACTAAGGTTCTTTCAGATGGAGGACTGTGTTTTGAGTACGGAGGAATGTATTATTACTCTGGCATCGGGCCAAAATTGGCCACGGAGGTCGGGGGGTGCACTGACCATGTGGTACGGGAAGGAAAAATATATCCCGTATACCATTACACGTACAACTCGTACGAGTATAGGATGCTTAACGTGGACCTATGTCAGAGACTGGAGCAAGGGAGCTGCAACCAGAGTCAATTTGCGCTAACACTTTTCGGAACCGCGGATCTATACTCCATACAAGTAGTAGTATAATGATGAAACCACTCGTGCAGCAACTGCCAAGCAAAGATTACTATTCAGCTTTGCCAAGCTGACCCTCGCAGCCGTCGCTTGGAGTTCGCTTGGAGTCGTACGAGCACTTAGTGGATAAGGCAGGTATACAATCGGGTCTGAAGTGAATTGTGGCTGACGATGGGGAATCCTTGCTAGTTACGGAGTAGGTTATGTACATATGAGTATTCGTGCCTGTTTAGATCTGGTTTGTATGGCGGGGGCAGGGGCAGGGGGGCAAGGCGTAATCCCCTGCCCCAGTATAAAACATGGCAGAGTATTACTCCGTAGAAGCACTCTTGTTTTGACTAGACGCACCCTAGCCGTAAAATATAAACCAACAGCTTGGTTCGTACCTGTACGTGTGTAGACTCTTCGTCCAAGCAATCCTGGCTTTTACTATCTGCTAGTCAGCACTAGCAAAACTCCTCAAGTGTTATGATCTGGTCCGCCGTAACAGCTAAATCCCTTATAAGCAGCTGGCTTCGTTACAATAATTGCTAGAATTGCGATTATTGGCCTAATTTTTACCCTGTTGGCGCTACGGCATAACGGAACGTAACGTCAAGCCTGTACATATGTGTGTAGACCCTTTGTCCAAGTAATCCTAGCTTTTGCTAGAATGAAATATTGGTAAAATATGCTATCTAAATATTTTACTATCTGTCAGTCAGCACTAGCATAACTCCTCCAACTCTGTTACGAACAACCTAGTCTAAGTGCGAGTCCTTATCATAACTGCAAACCAGGCCTTAGTCTCAGTACTTGTCGTAACGGCAATATGGGCCCTTGTCGAAGGGTTCGCCAAAACAGCAATCGAGACCAAAGTAACTTGTCAAGGCCTCTCACTAATAATGGCCGCTATCGCAGCTGCGGCCAACAACTCCAAACAATACACCAAAATAAAATTAAAGGAGTAAATTAATAAATGATAAAATTAAAAAACAATATAATATATAACATTAATTAATTCATATCTTCATTTCTTAAATTAAATAAAATTCATTATAACTTTCCATATTTAAATTTTTTATTTAATATTTAATATTTTATATTATATTTATTTATTTTATAATGTAATTTTTTTTTGTATTATATTATTTATTTAATATTGTGTGATTCATTTCATGTTTAATATTTAAATTTTTTTTATTTATATATATTATAGAAAATGCTCTTAATGATATAACTCTTCAATCAATATATGTAGTAGTTTTACAGAGTTTTGAACTAACTATTATAGCACTTGTGCGGTAAATGTTAGTAAGCATCTAAGTCGAGCCTTTCCAGTCTAGGCCTACGGCTAACAGTACTGTGCACGACCATGGTGTAGCAACTGCCAGTGTGGCATTCACGGCCAAGGTTAGAGTAAAATCAATTCTGATAACCCCACGCACTGCTCAACACAACACACCATCCAAATCAAACTTGCGTCGAAATGGACAACTTTTTTTCCCATGCCAAAATAAGCTGGTGGAACGCCTGGGTGGCCATTTGTGGCCTCGTGGCAGTATATTCCCTTAGCAGGACGTTGGAGGCACTCAGCTACTCTCTAAAGACAAAGACGCACAAATGCGGCAAGATCAAGTTTTACAAGACCAAAGACCCAGTATGGGGGATTGATTTCATGAATAATCTGAGCCGAGCCTTGCAGGAGAATCGCATCTTGTCATGGATGGAAGAACTCTGGGCCTCACAAGGAACAAAGACCTTCAGAGTGAGCTTTATGGGGAAGCGTGTCATTTACTCACGCGATCTGGAGAACATGAAGGCTGTGAGCACAACTCAGTTCCAGGAATTTCTGGTAGAGCCCGTCAACGGCCATCTGGACCCATTCTTGGGCAGCGCTCTCAGCACCGCAGATGGAAAAGTGTGGCAGCACAGTCGCAACCTCGTAAAGCCATACTTTGAGCGCCAGGCCTTTGCTAATGTACAGCGTCTGGCACCCTTCACGGATCGCTTGTTTGGTCTGTTCCCGACTGATGGGGAAACCTTTGATATCCAGCCGCTGCTGTCAAGATGGGTACGTTTCATCATGCCAGACACATAAGGATCTATTCTCATCTAGTCGCAGTTTCTGGACGCCACCACCTCATTTCTCTTTGGGCGCAGCAGAGATAGCCTTACCAACGCTGAGAACAAAGACGTCATGTTGGCGATATTTGATATTGTTCGCGGTGCGAGTGCCCGTCGTTCAATGGGTCCCTTGAAATATGTTTTCCACGATGCAAAATGGCACGAGTCAATCCAATTTGCCCACAAGTACCTAAATGACCATATTGACGAGGCTTTGGACGAGTTGAAGGCGCGAAATCAAAATCCGGAGAAATTTACCACCGAATCTGATCGAACAGATTTGCTCTGGTCTTTGGTGCAGCAGCTTAATGACAGGACCCTCCTGCGAGATCAGCTCGCCGCCCTATGGATTCCAGGCATGGAATCTACCAGTATCCTTGTCTCAAACATATTATTTTTCTTGTCTAGACATCCTCGTGTTTGGCAACGCCTACAAAGCGAGGTCAAGGCAACGGGTGAAGGGGCACTGACGTATAATACGTTGAGAAATATGCAGTACATGACGTGGGTGATTAATGAAAGTAGGTTAAACCCCTTCCAAGCTACCTCGTTACAACTTGCGATATCCTAAATGACCCGTATCTGAAGCCCAGCGTGTGTTCCCCGCCGGCGTCTCAATGACCCGCGTGGCCGGAAAAGACACGACGCTCCCACGAGGCGGCGGACCAGATGGCCAGCAGCCTGTCTTTTGCGCAAAGGGTGACCTGGTGGTCTGCAACCGCTACCTGCTGCACCGTGACCCTGAATACTGGGGCGAGGACGCAGCAGAGTTCCGGCCAGAGCGGTGGGATGGGATTCGACCATTCTGGAACTTTGTGCCGTTTGGCGGAGGACCTCGCATCTGTCCGGCCAATGTCATGGCCGTGACCGAGGCCGCGTACTTTGTGGCGAGATTTTGCCAAAAGTATAAAAGCATTGAATCGCGAGATGATCGACCCTTTACACCTGTCCTGCATGCCGGTGTAAGCAACTTGAACGGAGTTAAAATCGCCGTCACATCGTGGTAGAGAAGAGAGGACATAGGGTCTGGGGTTGAAATTCCGGGTGGCATCATGACCTCGTCAAGTTTTTGGGAGTAGTTTATGGTCGTATGTTAATCTTTTTATTTAACTGTATGAATGAGCGATGATACTCATAATATGACAAGCACAGCTAGGAACATCATCAGATGCCAAGAAAACATTTGACACAAGAAGAAGAAGAAGAAGAAGAAGAAGAAGAAGAAGAAGAAGAAGAAGAAGAAGAAGAAGAAGAAGAAGAAGAAGAAGAAGAAGAAGAAGAAGAAGAAGAAGAAGAAGAAGAAGAAGAAGAAGAAGAAGAAGAAGAAGAAGAAGAAGAAGAAGAAGAAGAAGAAGAAGCGACAGAGACGGTTACTATATTATAGAATTATTATCGGTTGCAGTGTGCCCGTCTCTTAATCTATGCTAAATCTTTTTTACGTCCTCCTTTTGGCTTGTCATCAAGCTTTTGATCTTGATTGGTAACAGGTCTTGTGAAGAGCCCGGCCAGCAGTTGTCAGGTTTTCCACTCAGGGCCTCAAATTCAAAATTGAAACAGGTGACGGCAAGGATATACCTCATGGCTGTTCCGGGTGTAGTAATCTGGTAAGCACTGCGCATGCTACTAATAAAAAGGCCAGAGAGATAATGTACTCACCATAGTAGGTCCAGTTTGATCCGAGGCATATCCTCGGTCCGCTTGCTAAAGCCCACAATACATCCTCTCTCCCGGCCTTCTTGCTAACGTGTTCACGGCCGAGCCATCGCTCTGGAATCCACTCCTCCACTCTATCCCACTTGTTCGGATCACGGTGTACGAACCACTGGAATGCGTTCACTCTGGTGTTTGGAGGAATATTATCTATTCCTGCAATAGAGACAGCTCGGTCCGAGGGTGTAATACGAGGCAGCGGAGTGCTAGTGGGGCGCATCCGTAGAGACTCATGAATGACGGCTTCAAGGAATTCGAGTTTTCCCAAGGCCACGGGTAGTGCATTGGACAGGTTAGTCGAATAGTCTGCCAGTTTTGGAGCACTTGTCAAGTCAATTCCTGCTTCAATGATTTCTTCGCGAATTCGACGTTGCGCGTGTGGATTTTGAGCCAGATACCAAAAGGTATAACTGAGGACGAGACCTATATCGGTTCTCCATCGTAAGCATTCGACTTCCCCGGACGGATAGAGAGACTGTTGATGTTACATACCCAGAACCTCACGAGAAGCCGCTACATGAGAGCAACAAAGTGTGTTAGTGATCGGTTCATCTTTGTCATGGCCTGAGAACATACAAATATGATCGAACATCTCGCTCCCAATTTCCGCCTGCTTGGCTTGTTCGTCTAAGTGTGGAGAGTCTTTCTCGACAGCCAACTTAATGGCCTCGTAGACAACTGGTTGATTTTCCGGCGGGATTGGCTTCCCCATCTCTTCCCTCTGAAGTATAGTTTTGTCTGCTTTTGATTCCATATTTCGTAGCCAGGTTTCAAGGAATTTTTTCGATGCCCAGTATGAACGGGGAAGCAGATCGATGCCTACAGTTTTCAATAGGTTGTACAGCAATGGAATTTCCTGCGGAAAGAAGCATTCATTACATGAATAATTATCATAGTGAAACCGCCACTCGTCAATGAAACTTTGTTCTTTGGACAGGTAGGCCGTTCCATTACCGTAGCCTAGCAGGAATGAACTGATATAGTCAGAGCATAGGCGGTAACTGATGTCTAGGGCGTCGGCTTGGGCACCTGATGCAGCGGCGCTATTCAAAAGGGGATACAAGTGAGTGTACATGATTTTGATGCTGATGTTATGCATCTGATGGGACTCTAGGAGAGCGACTTTAGAGTATAACGCAGCTGAACGACGTCGGCGCAACCCATGAGCTCTACCATCCAAGCTGGTAAATGCATTTAGGCTCCTGCTCGAACGGTAAGTATACCGGGTTGTGAGTTAAACCATCGATGAAAGTAAAGTGGCTTAAACTAACCCGTAGTAGTTGAAGAATGAGTAAAACGAGGATGGTTTCCCGAATCCTGCATCATAGACTTTCCGTATTCCATCCTGATATGAACTTATACTGATATCTTGGGGGCCAACCTGAACTATTGGGCCGTGCTTTCTGTGGGCTTTGACAAGTTCAGACAACTCGGTTCCTCGGTACCGTACCCAGAGAGACCAGATAGGACTGAATCTGGCAGACCAATGCGAGGCGGGGATTTTAGATAGCGGTGAAAGGTAGACCTTGTTTGCTATGTAAACAATGAGGAGGACGAACAGGAGGGCATAGACGCCAAGCAGCATTGTTGCAGTTGTGGCGATGGAGTCACCATCAGCGAAGGCGACTGCACAGAAAGGTAAACGATTGACCAAGCGCTCAGGATAGCTTTCACTATAGCGATTGATTCTTTTATTACACCGTGACACCGCTTTTATGCCCACTGACAACTGCAGTATCCTTCACATGTGGGGGTCTCCTCGCCTCCTCCGAGTACCAAGACTCGTACGAATACAACCGGGAACCATCTTCTGGCTCACCAAGGCTAACCTAGCGCAGGCGGCTGGCTCAGGATCAAGGTGAGACAGACTATTCCATTTATGGCCCCCTGTCGTGTTTCTGCGAAATTGCAGATCGGGGGGGAGGGGGGTGGTGATAGCCACCTTGCTGAGTCATTTTCGGGTCAGTGATAAACCATGTCCATGCTAGGTATCTGTTCTACTGCTGTTCAGGTTGAGGGGAATTCGGCATCGCGTTTTCCAACTGTAGGATCCGCACCATCATGGCGCCTTCTCAGCAATGTGTGCCTTCAGCCGACAATGCATTCGGGCCACGAGTCCATGGCTGTCGCGAGGACTTCGATTTCACCTTGCTGTTTGAGCAGTCGATTTTATCAATTCTGCCGTCTCTTGTTTTCTTGCTGCTGGCTCTGTCGCGATGTTTCCTTGTCTGGAAGCGACCGACGCTGCTGAGGCAGCCTCTCGATATTTTATTATGCGGCAAGATGGTAGGCTGTCGTCGCATTTCTGTTGAAATCTTTGCTGATTTTTGTTGCTTCAGTTGGTATTTCTCGGCTTCGGAGCGACACAGATAGCCCTCATCATTCAGTATGCCGTTTCGGACAGGGCTTTTACCAAAATTTCCATTGCAGCATCCGTAATCTCTCTTGTGACCCTGCTGCCCTCAGCCATACTATCTTACCTGGATCACCACCGCTCAATACGTCCTTCGACTCTGCTCTGTTCCTACCTTGCACTCGCCACATTGTTTGACGTCTCTCAGGCGCGAACCCTGTGGTTGCGCCATGACGGATCACCTCTGCCGGCAACTTTTACCGCAGCAGTTGCCTTTAGGTTCTGCATGTTGCTGCTTGAGTCGGTAGAGAAACGGTCGCTCCTCAAAGAGGTCTACCGAAGCTACTCCCCAGAAGCCCTTGGTAGCATCTTTAACCGCAGCGTGTTCTGGTGGCTGAATAAACTCCTCCTCCGCGGATCGGGTTCCATACTTCGTCAGGAGGATTTGATGCCGCTTGATCCACAGTTGCTGCCAAGTTCAGCCAACCCTTCGGATTTTGGATCTGCTTGGGCAAAGAGAAACAAAAACACTAGCCATGCCTTGTTTAAAACTACCATTGCCTTCTTCTTGAAGCAGTTTCTGCCAATTTTCTTGCCCAGGATCTTCCTCATTGGCTTCAATATTGCCCAACCTCTTCTCATCTACCGAGCAGTGTCACTTTTGGCGGAGAACCAAAGTCAAGACAGACAAAACGCCGGTCATGGCATGATTGGCGCGACAGTATTGGTGTACCTTGGCATCGCATTAAGCACCGGGCTCTACAAACGTCAAACCTACCGATGCATGACCATGATACGGTCTGCGCTTGTGAGCTTGATCTACGAAACAACTCTCGAAGTGCGCCTAACTGTAGCCACCGACAAGGCCGCCATCACACTTATGAGTACGGACATTGATCAGATTGCCTCTGGACTGGAGAATCTCGACGTTGTATGGGCGTCTCCGATTGAGATCGCTCTAGCCATATATATCCTTGTGGAGGAAATCAGCCTGGCTGCCCTCGCGCCCGTTGTTGTGGTTATTGCATGCACTGCTTCTGCCTTTGGATTATCCATATTCGCACCAAAGTATCAAATAGCCTGGGTGGGTGCCATTCAAGCTCGAGTCGCTACCACTGCATCCATGCTCGGCAACATGAAGGGAATCCGGATGTCTGGCCTAACTAGCAACTACACGTCCACCATTCACAACGCCCGTGTGACAGAGCTTCACAAATCACTGCCATTTAGAAGGATTCTGGTGGCTGCCAACGTGTTTGGCACAATATCTCGCTCCATTGCCCCTGTTGGCGCGTTCGTGATGTACTCTTTGCTCCGACATACGCGGTTCGGAAACACCGTTGACCCGGCTACTGTGTTCTCCTCCCTGGCTCTTCTCACGCTTGTAGCGCAGCCACTCATGCAACTGATGTTCGTTCTTCCCATGATACTTGGTTCGCTAGGCTGCTTCGCTCGCATCGAGAGGTATCTGTTGTCGCACGGCCAACCGAGAAAAGCAGAGCCAGCGTCCTTGGAACACAGCGCGGATAGCAAATCGGGATTTCAAAGCGTGGAGCTTGATGACCTATCTTCATTAAAACATCTCATCTCAATACGAGATGGCACTTTCAGCTTCGATGACGAGGGTGATGCTGTTCTGCGTGATCTTTCGGCTTCGGTGCCTCGAGCAAGCCAGATCATGGTCACCGGGCCAGTAGGATGTGGTAAGAGTGCACTTCTTCTGGCAATGCTCGGTGAAATGACATTGGTACATGGGTCAATGGATCGACACCCACACTTGAGATCTAGCTATTGCGCCCAAGAGACCTGGCTGCCCAACATGTCTATCCGGAAGATCATCCTCGGCCCTTCAGAGTTCAACGCTGGCTGGTATAAAGAAGTAATCCATGCTTGCGCTCTTGAGCCAGATTTGGCTGGCTTTGCGGAAGGAGATGAGGCTGCTGTTGGCGCCGGCGGAATCATGCTGAGCGGCGGCCAGAAGCAGCGCGTCGGCCTTGCCAGGGCCCTCTACGCAAGGCCACAGTTGATTCTTCTAGACGACATCACGAGCGGTCTCGATGCGACCACGGAGCTGGCCGTTGTTCAACGCGTTTTGGGAGCTGATGGCCTCTGCCGTGCGTACAATATGTCTGTTTTGCTCTCCACCCACAAGAGTATGTGCCAAACGGAGCCCTGTATTATAGAATTTGGAGACTAACCTACTTTATAGCGCACTTTATGCATCTGATGGATCGGATTTGGTCTCTAAACCAGGATGGCAGCCTTTCCGAGATTGCTGACCCTCCGGCCCAGATGGAAAACGGCGCTGAGAGCCTAAATTCCACGCATCCAGCAACGCGAGAAGACGGCGAGGGAGCTGAGGCGTCAGCATCAGTCTCGGCTAAGCCTACGCCGCAGGATGATAATGACAGTGCGCGACAGCAGGGAGATCTGAGTCTATATCTCTATTACCTCAAAGCCATGGGCTGGAAGCTTGCTACATCAGTTCTGGTCTCTGCCATCGGCTTCGCGTTCATGGCCACATTTCCCAGTGTGTGGCTGTCATGGTGGTCTGACTCTGAATTAAAGCACCCAGGCGCGCACCAGGCTAAATATCTCGGTGTTTATGCAGCACTGGGCGTTGCCGCCGTTCTTTTTCACACATTGCTCTTATGGACAAGTCTGATTGAAGCGGTACCTGTAACATCGATCAAGTTGCATAAATTGCTACTGGATAAAGTCATGTCAGCTCCTCTTTCATTCTTCGTTACCACAGATACCGGTGTCACGGTGAATCGCTTTAGCCAAGACATGTCCTTGCTCGACTCCAGACTGCCTGCAGCAATGGTGCAAACTCTTGATGGAGTATTTCTAACGATTGCAACGATCATTGTCATCGGGGTAACGTCCAAATATACGGCGATATCCTTCCCCATACTCTTGGCCGTTCTGTACATTCTGCAGAAGTTTTACCTCCGGACATCCAGACAGATGAGGCTCCTTGATCTGGAGTCCAAGTCTGCGCTTTACACAAATTTCTTGGAGACGTTGCAGGGCATTGCCACCGTCCGAGCTTTCGGCTGGCAGGATTATTTCCGAGACCTGAATCGCGGATTCCTCTCAGAAGCTCAGAAGCCGTATTACCTTATGTTTAGTATTCAAGTATGGCTAAATGTGATGTTGAACCTGATTGTCGCCATCACAATGATACTTACTATGTCACTTGCTATGGAGCTACAGAGCGCATTCTCTGCTGGCACGCTTGGATTGGCCCTGACGAACATCTCAACCATCAGCCAAACTCTGTCTTACGTCATTCAATCGTGGACAGAGATGGAAACCTCTGTTGGAGCGTTGATGAGACTGAAGAGCTTCCTCAACGACACTCCATCGGAGCATCTCCCGGGGGAGGATAATGTTCCAGATGGGGAATGGCCATCGAAGGGGCAATTGGCATTTAAAGGTCTCACCGTGAAGTACAGGTGAGATGAGATATTCCTCCCCGCCCACCATCGTACAGCGAGAACTAATATGCTTGACTTAGCGCCGATGCTACAGCTGTTTTGCGAGATATCAATCTAGAAGTTACGCCCGGAATGCAAATCGGTGTTTGCGGTCGCACAGGAAGGTAAGAAGGGGTCTCATCTCTGTCCCTACATTGACAATTCAAAGCATAAACACATAAAAGAAACAGTTCTATAGTATTTACAATCTGGCTAACACTGAGATAGTGGAAAGAGCTCTTTGATACTGAGCATTCTGCGGATGAACGACATTGTTGGCGGATCCATAACTATCGACGGGCAGGACTTGAGCTCAATGCCTCGAGATACAATCCGACGAAATATTGCCGTCTTGCCGCAAGATCCAGTGCTCTTAGAAGGCTCTTTGCGGTTCAATCTAGATCCTTTCGGCGAGCATTCCGATGCAGAGATCACGTCTGCCCTGACGGACGTTGATCTGGGGCATCTTTGCCAGGCTCCTGAGGCCTTGGATGCAGCGCTAGAAACCGACAAACTCTCGGCCGGACAAAAGCAGCTTTTATGCATTGCACGAGCATTGATGAGCCGGTCCAAGTTTCTGATGCTTGATGAAGCAACTTCCGCCGTCGATCGAGAGACGGAGGATAAGATTGTGAAATTGGTGCACGAGAAGTTTAGCGGCTGCACTGTAATTGCCGTTGCCCATCGCCTGCGTACGCTTCTGGAATTTGACTGGATCCTTGTCATGGAGCAGGGACAAATCGTTGAACAGGGCAAACCGAGTGACTTGCTCGCGCAGGAAGACGGTCGATGGAGACAGCTATGGGACGATCAACAGTAGATGGGTTGAGTGTGTTCCTACCGAAAAAATCCACACCACGCGCAGATGGGGCACAACTCGTCCTTTCAATTACGTATAGATGATGCTATAGAATAGTACTTAATTGCTTATGGTAATTCTGTTTGATCTTTCCCAAAGCTATTTAACGCTATCAAATAGAGATTTTCTCTTGTTTATCTCCAAGCTATGGCAGAATGCCCTTGTATCCGCATTTTACAGTTCTGCCGTATCATCACGAGATCAGAGCGGCTATCCGTGTCCAGTAAGGTATGTCACAGAATGCAAGCAACATAAAAAGCAAACGTAATGGCCTACTTGTATTTTATACCTAGTCTCCCGCTTGAATACTCAGTTTCAATGCATCATGGCCTGCCTCAGCCCGCCCCCGTTCTACCTCAAAGCGTGGTCGAGCCGGCGGAGCTCCCCTGTATCAGCGGCAGACAACAGCTCAGGATTCTGCTTGAAAAGAAGCGGAAGGCGTTTGCTTTTGGAAATGTCGCTCAGCGCAATTCCATCGCCCGTTTCCACCAGGTTGGCTAGGCTCCTGTGAAAGGTATAGCCGCAGCGATTCTTGTCCCCCATCCGCTCCATGCAGAAATCCTCCCGCTCATCAACTGCAGTATCTCTTAAGCTTATTTTTAATAGCTCGCCGGTTACGCCCGCGTAGACGTTCGACGCAGTGTCGGACGATTTGGCAAGCGAATACAGCGGCGTCACCGCGGGATACACGACGGGGAGGTATAAGTTGCAGTTTGGCCTGTAAAAGTCGGTCCGAGCTAGGGAGTGAAGGTTACACTGGTATCCCGAGAGGTGGCAGCACTTTGCGTAATCGGAAGACCTTGGGGCTGGGATTCCAGTAAGCGTCTTTGGTGTTGGACCGAGCTCGGTTTTGCTGCAATTGAGGGCGTCTATGTAGGAATAGGGCCTTGTCCATCGCATGTCAAATATTTTCAGAATAGGCAGGCGGGCGCTTCCAACAATAAATCTATCCATTCCATACGACAGAAGAGGGCCGAGGGGGGCTGTCATCTCAAAATGATCTTGGAAGATTGCGGCAATGGGGGAATGGCTCCGAAGATCCTGCAGCCGGACGGTTCCATCATCATAGGAGCTTAAGACGGTGTTGCCAGAGCCACCAATAATTGAATTTGTGTTCACCGGCAGCACGCTCCGAGCAGTTTGCGGATGCTTGCCGTCATAGATATGCGCCTCGGTGCAGCGTTGCGAGGGCTGCAATTTGGCCGCGTTGATCAACACCGTGCCCGAGGGTGTCCTTGTCAGAAAGCGCAGGGGCTCTGTGCTGGCAGCCATGCACAAGACGATATCTCCGTTGCCCATATACTTTGCCTCGCGCAAGAATCTAAAGTCCTGAGAGTCAGGCATATTCCTAACGCTAAAGGCTTCTGTAGGCTGAACGACAATATCCGGCGTACCATTAGCTATATCCACAGCTGGCCATTTATTAGGTACTAAAGGGTAGAATAAGACGTTTTCCTTGGTGGTAACGACCATGGCATCTTGTGATTTATTGACTTCAACGTGCTGTATGTTGTGTTGGTCTACCCCCGTATTTATCGGATGGAACCAAGCAAGGAGCCGTCCCACGTCGTTGCGTTCTGTCGACGTTAGTTGTAAATAACCGCTCGCTCGGCCAACAAGGAGCCCAGGCTGGGGCGCAGTGTCGGGCAGAATCGAAACAGCCGTCACATCGTCGTCGCCACTCCTAAATCCAGCCTCGGCTCCTGGCAGCGAGATCCATGTTTCACCTTGAAGGGTAGCGTTCTTTAACTTTCGCGATCGAATGATGATATCCTCGCCGAGGCCCCAAGCAACTGTCTCCTCTTCATTTTGCCCATGAACCTTGGAGCTCGCGTCGACAACGACGTGTGCCGGGAACGTCTGCATCCTCGAGTGACCACCGCCACCGCGACCTCGCCCGCGTCCTCGCCCACGTCCTCGCCCGCGTCCTCGTCCCCGTCCTTGGTCAGGCTGGCCACGTCTACTGTCTCCGCCGGGTTGCACGGGAGGCACTACTGACGTGATGGAAAAAGCGCGGCGGTCCCAGGCGCGCGATTGAGAGGTCAGCTTCTTGGCCAACTCAGCCCATTCCTTATCGCTGAGTCCCTTTGGAAGTTCGAGGCTTGCAAACCGGCTCCTGACAAAACAAGGCCAGCCCTGCGCCTGAGCCACAGTGTGAAGCTTCTTGCATGTCGACGCAATGCGTGCGACTGTTTGCGCCGAGTCGAGCAGGGAGAATATAATGGCCCAGATTGCTGGAGAGAGATCCTCCAGTCTAGGCTGATCGTGCAAATGCAGCGCGGCCAGGTTCAGCTTGGCGGTAGCGGTCATGGTTGGTTTTGTTGCAATGTGTGGCAAAGTGCTGAGAGGGAATGAACAGGTTCAAGTCGAGAAAAGCCGCAGCAGATTTGGCGTCCTGGGTATCTTTGCAAACAAGAGATGCATCGTCTTTGTATTTTCGGGACAGGTGACACCGCCACTGTTACATTGCCCACAGTGGACCTGATAGCACATGCAGTCCAGCTATCTGTCCACTACCTGGGAGTAAGAACACACCGCCAGCTGTTCCATCAGTACCCTACTTGCTGTAGACAGGCAAAGTGCGGATACTTCGAGAATCGTTAGGTGTACTCGTAGTTGCGGCGGGGGAAGCTAGAGTTGCGCCATTATAGCGCTGACGAACTCGATCGGCTGTTAGCGCATTTCGACTTGGCGTGGGATGATCCTACATGTTGCATGTGATGCCATATCAAGCAGTCGGTTCGATAGAATGGCATTGGTGTCCTCAACCATGCACGAACAATCCTTTGCTCCTGTTTCATTTTAGCAGCGAACCCTGGATTACAATACTGGAAATTAGAGTGGTTCATCGTATAATTCGTTAAATTGGAAGAGAGAGAGTAGGCACAGGCTGATAATGTTGTATTATATTGCCAATGTATATCGAATATAAGAGGGGCCCATCCGATACCTTTAAGCCGCCTCAATGATCTTACCAGGAGGTCCAAATGAAACACTATGATCCACCAATTCAGGCTACTACAGCTAAGGATAGCCTCACGTCGACTATACTTGCCAACAAGACTAATAAACGGGGCTAATACAGCACGCTGTTCATGGCGGGCCGCGAGGAGTTTCTAGTGGGAAATATATATATGAGGTTATGTTTCTTTTATTAATCTTGCTACTTACTAGTTGTTGGAAGTTACTACAAATGCGGGACAGACCCGTTCTCTTCTTAGTGGGCTTCAGCATCCCCCTACTCACTACATGGCTACCTACGGTTAGTGAACCTTCTCCTCCACAAGATCAAACTCTACATCATCTGGCCCAGCAACATCGGGTCATATCATGTTCGGCCGCTTCTGTGCCTAGGCAGAACTGACCCGGCAAGCGGCCAGGCCCTGTATGTGTTCGCTATGGTTATCCTCACCGTTGTATTCATGGGGCACTATGAGCCGTACCAGTCGAACCTGTGGCTACTCTCTTGCCCTGCTGTTTGTCGTTGTATGGGACTACATATATATATATATATATTTGACTTGGTATATGACAAGATTGTTAGAATTATAATGAAAATACGAAGTAGGATGAAGGAATACAAAGCAATTAGTTGGCCTATTCATTTTTTTAACTTCTTATGGATAACTCTTCCAATTTTTATTAATCCCCAAGGTCGCAAGAAATTTTAAGCCCTGTGAATTAGAAAAAAAGTACATAACTATAATTAATATAGCAAGCCGTCGGAATATTTGAGAAATTCTTTTTCTACGGCCTTGGGAAGTCCATGATATATTCCAGTGGGACCATGTAGGATACAGACATGTCCAGCTTTGCCACAGCATGCTATACCTATTCAATATGTGTCAGCTATTAGTCTATTAGAACCATGTAGGGCTGTCAACTCACGGATAATTCACTGAATTGTGACCATTGCTGGATAGGTACCAACTTGAACAACCGCCGCTATTCCAGACCATGTTCTTCAAGGCGGCTTGTATTCCGTAGTTGTAAGATAACGCCGCCTCTGTTTTTAAATTAATCATGGATATATCGTTTTGTAATAGTGGGCGGATAAGCTGAATGGCATGGGTGATCTGGTTCTCCAGGCCCAAGATGACGCTGGAATGTCCGCTGAAGGAATTAGGGCCAAACAACGCAAAAAAGTTTGGGAACCCATCTAATGCAGTTCCCTTGTACATCTGAGGTCCTCCTCTCTTGTCAAAGACAGAATTCAGACTTTCTCCGTTTATACCGACAACCATTAGCGGATGGAACCAGCTGCTTACTTCGAAGCCGTTGGCAAGGATAATGATGTCACAGGGTATTTTTTTTTCATCCATCTGAGCTTCTGATGGATGTGTCTTCCGAGATGGCGCCAGGATCGCAGTAGTGCTTTTTACGCTTTTGAGTCCCAGTGTAGTGAGCTCAAGGCGAGGATCAGCTAGACTTGGGAACCAATCGGTGTCGAATATTCGACGCTTACAGCCGACATCGTAATTGGGAGTGAGAAGTTGGTGGTACTGTAGAAGTAAATGCATTAGCGCCAATCGGATTGAGCCATCTGTTTCCATGGAAACAATCACCTTCTTTGGAGCCGTGTTATGAAGGTGAGCAAGTAGATCCTCTCGTAACTTCTTCCGTGCTCGTTGGCTAGATTCTGATGCCCCGAAATAAGTAAAAGTGGCATCAATTTGAATAGCCACAATCTTCCGAATAAAATCCATCAAACCTGGGACTGTCCTGAATACTTTTGGCGCAAATTTGCTCCAACCCTCTTCTCCAAATGGTGGTGTTAATCTTGGAACAACCCAAGGTGCCTCTCGCATTACTTGGGTCACTCTTTTGGCACCCTTTTCAGTAAGAAGTTTTGGAACAATCTGAGCCGCGCTGCAACCTGTACCCACCACGAGAACGTTCTTTCCAACGAGATTAACTTTCTCATTCCATCTAGCTGAATGAAAAACTTCACCCTGAAACTCGTCACGGCCCGAAACATCCGACGGCCAGCCCCGCGGCTCTACCAGACCCCCAACCGCACTCACAAGTACTTTACATCGTACGATCTCTGACGAGACATAGACCGCATCGGGACCTTTGAGGTTTTCCAAATTTTGTCGTTCCGCGGCAGAGAGATCACCCATACCAGGAACCAAATGGCGGACGGTAATTTTCCATTCATTCTTAAAGTCATCCCACTGACAATGGACAACGTCAGAATTTAGCTGTATCTTGTCAATAAGCTGAAATTTTTCGACAACGGACTGCTGATATCGCAGTATTTCTTCTCCGCTGGGAAAGAATGACGACCAGTTGGGATTCTGATAAAATGAAAATGAATAGAATATGGCTGGGCTATACAATAGATAACATTAATCACCATCAAGAACTTTAGCCAAGGATAGACTTACATGTCACATGCAACACCGGGGTATCTGTTTATCCACCATGTCCCTCCAATACCGGACTGGCGCTCAAAAATATGAAATTGATCAAAGCCAATCTTTTTTTTCAACTGGCAAGCCATACCAATGCCTCCCATACCGGCCCCTAGTATAACCATGGGATAAAACGTACTGCCTGAGGATCCATATCCACGGGGTTTTGACGGTGCAAGCATTATATGAGTATTGAAGGTGTTCTAAAAGACAAAAAAGTTGAATTTTGAAGCTTGAATTGTACTGCAAGTTCAGGATCGGTTCATGGTCTGGCTTGCTTCCTATATACCTTGGATGATGTATATTCGTATGGTACATTCCTTGAACTCAGCCCTCATTTCCCATGATGGTAGCCGAGGCATGCGTGGATCATCTCCACAAGACAAATTTTGGGGTTGTCTTGCGGGAATATGGAGCTTACGGAGTCCGAAACGCTCATCATATTCGTATGCTCAAGGAGTGGCTTGGTAATGGCATCCGCACGACGATTCCTATGACGACTTATCTTATCTTGCCGCGCTGCCGTTCCACTAGTTTCGGCATTGTTAATCTAGCCGCCAAAAATACTACCACCCAAACATCCCTAATATTTAGCTCGCACGACTACAGTTACCCAACAATCACTAGCTTCCTTAGTTTCCATAAAGCCGACGCCGCCGTAACGCGGGGAAGTGTGGGGAGAAGCTGGAGAGCCACTTGCCAGTTGGATAGATTCAACGATACGGGAGCTCTGGAATGGCGGGGCACAGTGTGAGTGAACTATGTAGAAGAAATCTCTGAATAAACATGTGAGTTTGCAGCATATTTGTTATGATCTATCACATTACTACATGTATTTACGATACTTAAAGATGTGGTATCTTAGGTAGGTGTTGTTTTACATCATATGTGGAATTCTAGAATGATGCTCTATATCAAATAGGACAAGATTTTTACCGTCATATTTACCGGCTCGTTTTTCAGTGCGAAGGCAAATGAGGAGCCAGGCATGGAGCAATAAGATAGATTATTGAATTCGCTAATATATCATCTCTTCTGCCTTCTTCTCCCCAAAGTATCCTATCGTGATTCATACCATCTCTCTTCTTATCTGGAAACCGCAAGCCAGCGAAACGCATCTCTATTTCTCTTTATCCCTCCATTCCACAACTTAATTATACTGGGAAAAAAACAAGCTACAAGCAAACCACAGCGAAACCGCAACAATGCCATTAGACTCGAAACAGCGTAGGTTTTCCTACGACATGCTTTTATTAACGTACTTCAGCTCTGATGATTCATTTAGATATCTCAAGCACCGATGGTATCGCTGCAGATACGTCCCTCCAACACTCTGAATCCCATTGGAGCATTCAAAATGGCGAAACAGTTGAAATGAGAAAGAATCTCGGCCCATGGGCTTTGATTGCGATTGCTTTCAATGTTTGCAATAGCTGGGCCGGCCTCGCTGGGAGCATGGATGTCGCTCTCTCTCAGGGAGGTCCTGTTTCTTTAGTTTACGGGCTTCTTATAAGCTCTAGCCTGTATGGCTGCATAGCTCTGACAATGGCAGAGTTGGCATGTGTATATCCTGCCGCAGGAGGGCAGTATCACTTCGTTTCTATACTTGCCCCAAGAAAGCTTTCCAGAAGTTTGTCATATGCTTGTGGCTTGATTACAAATTTTTCTTGGATTGCTATTGGTGCAGCTATTAACATGATTTTCAGTGAGCAGCTCATTACGTTGATCATGTTTTACCATCCAAAATTTGTCTCGCAACCGTGGCACCAGTTTCTCTTTTATGAGGCCTTTTGCTTGATTATATTGCTGTATAATCTAGTGGCCCTGAAAAAGCTGCCACTTACGCATTATCTTGGATGTAAGTCTATCTCTATGCCGACAATGTTTTTGATACCCTATTAATTTGATCATCTCAATAATGTTAATTAGTCTTTCTTTGCATCTTTGTATTCGTTGGATCATTCTTCGCTATTCTTATCCGATCCTCACCAAAGGCACCTTCTGGTTTCGTGTGGACTACATTCATCAATCAGACAGGTTGGCCTGATGCGGTGTGCTTCATTGCTAGTCTTCTTACTCCATGCTTCATTTATTCAGGTCTTGATGCTTCTTTACATCTTGCAGAGGAAGTATCCAACCCACGAATGGCCGTCCCGCGTGCTTGTTTAAGCGCAGTCATCATCGGCTTTGTGACAGCATTTGCGTATCTCATCGCACTGTTATACAGCATCGTGGATCTAGCATCTATTCGTAACTTTAACGGGTTTGTTCTTTTGTCATATATGAGCAATAAGTTATTGTACTGAGAGGAAAATAGATTCCTGCCGTTCGAGCTAAATCGACAAGCACTCCGTTCTGATAGTGGAGCAGTCGCCATTCTCATTTTGAGTATTGTTATGACGTTCTTTATTCTAAATGCGGTGCTCCAAACGGCTTCCAGGTTAACATGGGCATTGGCAAAAGACAATGCGCTTGTGTTTTCCAGCATCCTTCAGAAAGTGAATCCCGTACTTGGCGTGCCTGTTGCATCACTCTTGTTTAACGCGGCGTCACTGGCCTTCTGTGGATGCATATATTTGGCGTCATCTACCGGTATGGGGACAATGCTCATAATATTCACAATGCGTATCCGAATTGCTGACAGTTTTTATATGGCGGATAGCTTTCGACGCAATATTGGGCTCCTGCGTCGTGCTCCAACAATGGTCTTTCTTGATGCCAACTTTACTTCTTATCTACCGCCAGAGATCTGAAGATTATTTACCTCGGGATCGAACTTTCCGCCTCCAAGGGTGGATTGGTTGGTTCGTGAACATTTGGGTAATAGTCGTAATCTCGACATCGATGGCCTTTATTTTTCTTCCACCGTTTCTACCGGTGTCGGCTAACACAATGAGTAAGCTTTCCCACAATACAGAGTGCATGGTCTAAGAAAAGTTAAAAAAGAGAAAAAAACTAACATCTACAAGACTATAACTGTGTTATAATCTTTGTTGTCTTTTTACTCAGTTCTGCAAATTGGTATCTCTATGCAAAACGCCACTACCGAGGCCCACGAGTCACCTTCCATACCTGAATAGGAGTAAGACGGCCGCAAAAGAGGATAAATAAGACATATTGTTGTAACTTATCATTTTATCGAGGTACTCCTCCAAATACATTAAAGCATTATTTGGAATAGACAAACGGCATAATGCTACCCGATGTGTACTCTATACCAAATGCTCCAATGACATGTTGTACCCCAGTCCTTTCGACCAACAGGTGTTATTTACCAGATGATAATACGATTTTCTATTTAGCCGATGCTTGCGCGTCACTAACTTCAAAGGTCATCTCAGTATAAGTATCGAACGAGTATGAATGACGTCCTATAAAATCCCTCGTTTTGCTAAATGGGGTCTCCACGGAACATATAACCTAGTGTTTAGAGCTGGGCCTGGGTTGTTAATTCATTAGCCACCTCTTTGGCAGCCCGTTGTCCAGCTGTGATAGCACCCTCCATATAGCCCTTCCACTCAAATGCCGTCTCTCCACCACCGAAATGAATATTCCCCATGGGCTCCCTGAGCACCGTCCCAAACTTCCTAAGCATCCCAGGACCTAAAACACTAGTCGGCGCGCCACCGATATATTCTTCCTTTGTCCACTCTACCATATTGAACTCTACAATATTGCGGGCCTTTGCTGCAAGAGAAGAATTCTCGCCCACAAGCGTCGCCAGATGGTCAATGATAGCTTCTTCGCGCGCCAATTCATCCAACTTATGCCACTCGGTGGCGACCCTTCCGGCAACAAAAATTGCCAGGCTATATTGCTTCTTAGAGAGGTCACTGATATCCCAGCTGAAACAAATGGGGCCAATGACTGATTCAAACTTGCCCACAAGACCTGCTTCTCGCCACCACGGTGAGGAGTATGTCAAGATGGCCTTTGCATAAACACCTGGCTTTGTTCTGGTAACGAGAGCTTTCTTTGTAGATGGCAACGGCGGAGTAAACTGAATATTTGTATATGTGTTTGTTGGGATGGCAATGATGACTTTTTTGGCTTTGTAAGTTGTGCCGCTGCTGGTCGTGACGTGAACCTCATTCTTGGCATACTGAGAGATGCTGTCAACTGGGCTGTGAAGCATCACAGAACCAGAAGGTAGTGTATTTGCCAGAGCATCGACTATAGATGATGTACCTAACCAAAGCCTATTAGTATCCAACCAACGAAATTAAGCCAGAACACTCACCAGTCTTAATTTTGAGTGATTGAGCGCCTTCGTCACCTTCGCTTACGACACTCATGTATCCATAGCAAGATTTGATATAATCCAAGAAGTAGTGTGCTCCAATATCCTCTGGCTCACGGCCAACAACCGCGGAGCACAGAAATCGACAAGTAGCATTAACGGCAGGGTTGTCCGCGAGGCCCTTTTGGGCTACCCATTCCGCCATTGTAACATCCTCCTCTTCTGGAAACTCGTCAAAGATGCGGATATTACACTTCTCGGCGGCTTCAGCCACGAGAAGGGTAAACTTTTGCACATGAGGAGTATTTTCCTATATCATGGATCATCTTAGCTTGATGGACAGAAGATGGCAAGAAGCAATAAAGAAGGGGGATTCAACACAATCTTACATTATGAGCCTGATCCATATTGCATCTGTAGATCCTCCCGTCGTAACCTTGATAAATCTGATCGCCCTCGGTGTACTGAGCTTCAGTTTCAAGCCCAAACTTCTGTGCCAGGGCATATATGGTGGGCTGTGTCTTCTTATTGATCCATGTTGCACCAAGCTCAACAATTGCGTTCGGATTAGTTCTGAGTCGTTGAGTTCGACTGCGGCCTCCGATACGATGTTTTGCTTCCAAAACAGTGACTGAGTATCCAGCTTGGTTCAACTCATATGCAGCCATAATGCCTGAAAAGCCACCACCAACAACGACGACGTCGGTCTCAACTGTGGGAACAGAAATTGCTCCGCTAGAGAGCTTCTGAATCATGTCTCTATCTGCAATCCATGGACGAGAAGCATTGCCAGCACTAGCGATTGCTTCAATCTCAAACTTTGCTTCCGGAAATGCAAGTTTGGAAACAGGGATGAGTGTTGTTAAGGGTTTATTGACAGAACCATATTTATCTCTGAGGAGAGCCAAGACTGGCGCAACGAGGTCATTGGCTGCAGAGAGATCCCAGTCAACGACGTAAAAGCGAAGATGGACTATGTCTCGAGGAAATGCGCCAGCGGCGTTTAGAACTTTCTCCAAGTTGGCTATGGCTTGTTGGATCTGTTCTGCCACAGATGGTGGCCAAGTGCCATCGCCTCGCTGCGCAACCTGTCCAGACGTGCGGATAGTCCTCCCAGAACCCTCTATGCTTATTCCATGAGAGTACCACTGAGGATCAGGAAGAGCAGTGGGATTCACGAGATTGGAGCTCGGATGGATGTCTCGTGGTGCCATGATGATCAGAGGAGAAAGAATGGTTCGGGGCAAACCGTGCGATGTAAAATAGAAGAATTTACTTGCAATGCTTAGATTGTTTTAATCGGTCTTTGATACTACGGATTCTAGCTCTTTCATATATACTCGAATATTACATAGCAGGACATGTCAAATTAATTCTAAAACCACGATGTTCCAATAGACATTGTCATCGCTTACACCGTTTACAAATTTGTGATAATAGCTGCGGGGATATTAATCTAGGCGATAGAAAATCTAAGATTCAACGTTATCTAGCCGCGATAATGCCCAGGGTAGGTGAATCGGCAGTCGCAAATTTGCTCCAGAGCGAGACTATATTTCTCGCCTTGTCCAAAACTATGTGACACAGTGCAGCCGTTTTACGAATTTCTCTTACTATTAACATCACTCTGCCCCGATTTCCGTAGCTTCCAAAATATCTGTTGATTCAAGCATCCCCGCGCCTAACCCTCAGCTTGTAGTGTCTTACTTGGCGTCGGCTAATATCGCCAGGTCCACATGATCCATCATCCTACCGAGGGCCATCAGTTCACAGTAAATTTGGCGGTTCCTCGACCTTAGTCTCCCAGTAGCGTAACGTGTTAGCATCTTGATATAGCGAAGGCGATAGCTGTTCGGCTATTTTGGCTCGCGGTCCGCGGGCGGCGCGGCCCCCGAAAGATCCCAAATCCGATATGAACAAATCCGCGGTAATTTCAGCTCACTTCCAAACTCAACGTCTAATCTCCAACATCTCCAAATATGCAGCGTAGAAAGCGGCCATATGATTACTCCAAATTGCGACCCAACTACCCACGATTCAAGACAGGATGCTTATCTTGCCGCCTGCGAAAGAAGAAGTGTGACGAAGTAAAGCCGAGATGCCGGGCTTGTTGTCGAAACAGCCTTGAATGTCAATGGCCCGATCTCTCTGGAGGGGCCAGCCAGCCGAACAGCTGCAGCAACTCGGGTGGTCGAGCATCAACTGTGCAGCACTTACCTACTGAGCAAGCTGAGATTCGAACATCTCCTCCAATATCGACGGCCTTACATCGCCAGCCTCTAACTCGTGATCTTGCAAGACCAGGGACAGCGTGCACCCTAACACAGGCATCCGTTACATTGCTTCGGCACTATTTTGAATACACAGCCGGCCTGCTCTGCACATCCCCTCTAACCAAATGCCCATTCGTCACCGTTGTGCTTCCAATCGCTTACACAGATGAACTTCTTATGCATACGGTACTGGCTCTGAGTGGCACGCATTTAGAGTGCAGACAATCTCGTTGGAATACTGGTTCCGTGGGGAATGTTGATCCTGAAATGCAACGTGTTACTGAGCTGCATTATCAAAATACAATATCAGGCTTGCGGCGAGAATTGCTCAACTTCGACTCCGCGAATGGCCAGCAACAAGCGAGGCTCTTGCTAATCCTTATCATTGCTTGTCATTACGAAGCCATATCTAGTAATAAGAGCGGCATGATGCTCCAGCATTTGCGTGCTAGTCGAGAGCTGGTTAGGCGACTTCTCACTCAACCACAAAGAAGCAATATTGACCAAGAGTCTCTGGGTTTTAGCCTTGAACTCTACGCTTACTTGTCGATCGTCAACTCACTCGCATCTTATCGAAGCATTGGAAAGCTTGCTCAACCATACGACGCGTTTCTTACTTCGCTGGATGAGTTAAGCAAATACTCGACTTTTGGCTCAATGTTTGGCGGCTGCCACTCACTATATGAGCTTATTCCCTATATAAGCCAGTTGGGCGTAGAATATCTCGCAGGAGAGAGCATTCTTGGAGATGACTGGATACCTAGTTCCGAACTTCAGTTATGCTACGAAGCAATTGAACACCGCATTGCAAATTGGACGATGCCGCCATGTGCAGACTCCTTGGCTCAACATGAGACTACCGATATTACAATGGCAGCAGAAGCTATCCGACACGGGCTCTATATATATCTTATGACCTCTTTTTGTGGATCAAGCCGACCAGACCCAATTACACAATCCCAAATTGAGGCTCAGGTAGACATCGTCTTAGCTCTAGCCACTTCAGTGAACAATATGAGAAGCAGGACAATATTGCTGTGGCCATGCATTATAGCCGGCTCCTGTATGATCAAAGAGGAGCAGCAAAAACATCTTATGTATGCATTACTACATTCAGGCTTCGACATGAAACATTTATTTAGTTTGTGTGAGATACTAGAGATAATGTGGAGCGATGATGATGTGAGCGCCTATGGGCCATATGGGCTGTATCTAACAATGGAAAGGAATAATAAGTATATACCTATGATGTAAGTATATTCAGTAATCAAACAAATAAATAACTAATGAGACATCTCTATACAATCATGGTCTTGTCAATATAGATCGTTACTCTTGTACCCAGAACTTGAGTAATAAAGAAGCTCAAAATCAGCAGTCCCTTTCTTTTTACCAAGACGGTGATTTCCCCCTGACCCTTGAATTAGAAATAAAAACGGAGAGATGTTTTTTTTAGAATTTTTTTTTTAAGAAGCGGCGGGCCCGGATTGCTGCGGCAGCTCTTCCTGGGTATCTTGAGTATATTTCATGCAGATCCGGCTCCGGTTACACAAACTCTTAAAGACACCACCCATCTTCCACAACTCCAGTGGCGTGTCCAGTTCAGCCATCCTTCCCGCAATCATGACGTAGATGCGGACGTAGTGCACGATCGTACGTTGTCGATGTGCAATACATAGCAGCGCCTTGCTTCGGAAGTCGACCGCCATCGCCTTCTGAATATTATCGTCCTTTTCTATGTCCACCGAGAAGGTCGCTTCTTTACACACGATAATCTGCGAGCCCCATACCAGTGCACGTGTAAGAGTCATAAGCTGCTGCTGGTCGAGGGAGAGGTTTAAGCTGTCTTCCTCAATAATGCGCTCAAGATGGATCTCATCCGTCTTCCTGCCTTCCCTATCGGCATCTGTAGGGACAGGGCCAGCTTGGTGGAGGGCTGACCTAAGTTCATAGCTAGTATGTTCGTCGGAAGGGTCGAGTTTGCTGCGGATCGTATCATAAGAAGGGGTTGGGTCTTGCGGAATAACCGTAAACCGGGATCGCAAGCCATACAACCTACAGTGGTAATATTAATACAGTCGACCATAATAAATCCCAAAAAAATCTCCACAAGTCGGAACAGAGTACTCATGATAGAACTCTTTCCTGCGCAAGTAAGGCGAATAATCCCAATACGGTCGCCACCTTTGATATACGCCGAAAATACTTGAAAAACAAGGAGAAGGTTCGACCGGTAGTGCATTTCGACATTATCAAAAATAAGGTCAGCTCTCTTAGGCTAAGACTTACGGACGTCAATAGTCTGCAGTGGCGCCTCTTCTTCCAGCTTGTTACTGTAATAATACAGATACTCAACAGCATTCAAACTATTCTCAACTTCAGCTAGCAAACGTATAGCAAACTGAAGCATCGGGACAATGGGTAAGATATAACTTAGTATAAGACCGCTGTTAGCGTGGTTAATACGAAAACGAGATGTAACAACCATGATTTCAATAGTAAAGGCAAATAGGTTACCAATTAGATCAAGACGGGTAGCTAACTAGCCCTAATTAGCAAATTTCAGGCATTACGCGCTATTAATATTGTCAATTGCCGTTAGAAGTACTTCAATAAAGTGGTCTTCAAGCCCATACGTGCGGATACATGTAACGCCTGTGAGTCTCTCTCCAATAGCAAAAACAGTAGACCACGGAGTAGATATAGCAATGGAGAGACATACGGGACAGTGTTTGCGCTAGCTATTTTGCCAAGGCTCTTGATCGAAACTCCTGTAGCATCCTTTTCCCTCGCAACTCTACATGTTTGTAGGACGGACCTTGATTCGATGCACAATCAGCAGACTAGATTAGGCTTGTTGAAAGGAGACGTTCGGCCGCCTTGATGATCAACGAGGACTATTTAGATAGGCTGAAAGTTATGGTGGCCTACAGGGTCATTCGTATAGATAATGACTTTGAGGTTCTAGATGAAATTGGAACAGCTCATATGAAGTGGAGTTAGGCGGGGTTGGCTGCGGAATCGCTTGATGGTATTTGGATGGAGACGGAAGAGTGAAAGGAACTGGGATGAATTGGGCTTGAATGGACATAATCCTCTATTTGACGCAAGCAAAAGGTGCTGGGGGAAAATGTCGGTGAGCCTGTGGGTGTGTTAGTGAATTCTTGTCTTCCGGAAGGCACGCTGCTTGAAACTAGACGCAATGGTCTCCAAGGAGTTGTTCGAGCATCTTTCTTCAAGATCTGCCAGGGCACAAATAAGCGCTAATTGATAGTCGCCCAAATTTGGGAGGATCAATCAAATTGCGCTCAACTTTCCGCCATAGATCGACATATGCTTCTCATGTTCAGCCACGCTTCTCTTGCCCAGGCAGCTTTGCCTTCAGAGGCCTCCGTCACGTCGGCAAAACTTGCCGCACTCCACTAAGGAGAGTTGGCTTCTCAAAAGCGGTAGAGTTTGCCACAGTATCTCTTTCCCTTTCTGTTCCAGCAATTGAGGGTGGCTGCCTACTGCCAGCATCGAATATTTTATCAATCTCTTCCAAAGATTTTCCTTTGATTTCAACCCAAAAGCACCACTGCTGTATGTCAGTGATGTGCATAAGCACAATCGAGGATGACTACAACTCACAATCAGCACCGCAATCCCAACATCCCAGGACGCGTTGATGACATACATCCTCCAGCCAATGGTTTGGAGAGCAATGGGTGTAACTAGCACCAATATGGTGCTAAAGGGGGTGTGAGCCAGTATTACGAGCTTGCAAGCTGTGACGATCAACACTTACCCACAAAGATTTTGTCCAAGTTGTGTAATGGCTACAGTGTGAGCACGAATCAAGAAATTCGCAATCTCTGGCGGATAGAGGCTAAACAAGGGCGTCCATGCAATGGAATAGATGCCTTGAAAGAGGAACATTACGGCCACGTTGCCATAGACCAAAGCCTTTGAGGCGTGGTCCGGATATTCGGCATACTTTTTCGTGAGAAGGCCAATGGTCAAAAGACAGCCAATCAAAAGTATTTCAGTAATGATTGCAGTCGACTTTCGTCCCCAGCGGGATATGAATTGTGTCCCTGCAAGTGCGCAAGGAAGGCACCATGCATTTAGGACAATGTTCTGAAGAAAATGTGTCAGTGAATGCTCTGATACTTTAGTGGCCTAGCGAGCTTATGTACCGCCTTCAATTGAGATTTTATATTTGTGATGCCCGCAGTCTTGAGCTCGGCGCCAAGATAGAATGTCGCGATAACGTTTCCAGCTGTTGAAGCAAATATTCCCGTTGATGAGCCAATCAGGAGCCGTCTTCTTGCGACAGGATCCTTGATAATGCCCCATATTGTCACATTGAGCTTCTGAGAGCGCTCTAACTCAATACCCTTGACGATCTGCTCGTATAGAATATTTGATGCCGGATCTTCGACGTTACCGTTAAAGCCAACCAGAGCAACTGCAAGCCGTGCTGCTTCATGATGGCCACGATAAGCCAACCAACGGGGGGATTCAGGACTACGCTTTTAGCCGGAGCTCCTCTAGTTTGATGGGATGCAAATAACGCACATGAATGGCAGAAATGCGATGCTGAATACAGAGAACATGCCTTGGGCAACGGAAGGAAGCCTCCAGGCCCACGACGATTCCCAGGAGCTCGTACTAAGAGTAATGACTGCAATGATCAAAGCACCGACGCTTAGGTTCTAGTTAGAATCCAACCCCAGTTGTCGAAGTGGACTTACTAGTAAAAGTTGTTAAGCATACTAACGCCCCATAATCGCCACTTATTTGGAAACGTCTCAGACAGGTACGTTCCGCTGGCAATATTGGCGATTGCGGTTCCAAACCCAATTAACACTCGTGCTACAATAAACATAGCGACATTTTGAGCTGCAGTCTGAACTGCCATAAAGGCAATTGCAATGAGACTGCCCCAGAGGATAGCAGGGCGGCGACCGAAGCGATCGCACAGCAAGCCTGAGAAGGGCGTTGCCAGACAGCCACCAATAAAAATTGCGGCGGTGTGCAAGCCTTTTGTTGTATCATTGAGATCAAAATAATCAACGTATGCGGGTAGGATATTAAGGCCATTGAGCATTGATCGGTAAACTCCATAAGTCTATTTCGCATAGGTAAGATCAATAGTGATCATATAGCAGAACTTTCGAAGCACACACAGTCGAGATCGTCATTGACGAAGTCATAAGCAAAATTACCACCATATTAGATGATCCCGGGACGTAGGCAGGGAGCCATGTGCCGGATTCAGCTTTCTTAAGCATGATGCTAGTGTTAAGGATCGCACAATACGCTGCAATAATAACGACGAAATTTTATTGCCACTCAGACATGCTGAACTTGAAGGGACTTTCAAGGAAATCCGTTCGTTGCGTCGACTATGAGGGAAGTCGCCATCTTATCGAGAGTTATCTTCCGAGATCGGTGCGAAGTCGGAGAGAGGGCGCAGTTGTTGATCTCTGTTTCAAGCAGCTCGGATAGACGTGCCGGCGTAGCGGCCGTCTCTCGGTTAGAGGCAAAGGGACATGGCGAGGCGTGTTTAAGACTAATCAGATTTCATATAAAGCTTAGGATGCGACCGACAGTTCTTAGCCGATTAATAATACTCTCGGCCATATCCAGGGGCTGTGCATCGTCGCCCAGCTAGCTTGATGTTGTCCTTTCTATTTTGAGATAGTTGGCAATATAATCAACTCTCAGACGTTATAATGGGAAATTTATGCTATGGAACCCACGACGGGATTTGGTCTTGACCGCTTCTGTCATCTGGGTTTCCATCGTACTTTTCAAAAGTTCTGTCATATAAGGCGAGCGTGGACAGGGTTGTCTTACTAATCGTCCTCTGCCAACTTAAATTCAATCATACATTTCAACTTCTAGGGTAGAGCATCATGTGTGCTACATGGCTTCATTGAGGCGTGTGTGGATGACCCTGTCATGACAGTTGTATACTTTTGATGGAGCCTTGCAATTAGTAGTTTACTCTCTATAGTGACAAGTGCCTTTCCTAGACAGAACCTTCCACCGTATCCAAAACGGATAAGTGGATTTAATCTCATGTTTAGTACCTCTTCGTCTCCATTGAGCTATCTTACTGGTAAAAAAATGATCAGAGTTTGGGAAGATATTCCCATCCCGATGAAATGCCACGACTGAGCTTGTGACTATGGTCCCTTCTGGAAGCCATGTGTTTGATAAGGTACATCCGTCTCTTGGAACAAGGCACTCAGCATGTCCGCTCGATGCCGGATGGAGGCAATATACCTCTTACAAGCATGCTTTCAGAGATGTGACTTGGCTATTGACGTCGACAAATGATATAAGGCCATTCTCTTGCACTGGCGGGGGGTTCAACTCCTTGCGTATTTTTGGCTGCCATTCTGGATACTCAGTCAATTTTCCAGGCAAGATACGTGGCAGTTACCCCAGGAGTTGCCTCAGCATCATTAATGCTGTCGAGAACCTCTGCTGCAACATATAAGTGGTCAGTCGAGTTTTTTGGCCCGACATTGTGGCGGGTTGGGAGGATCTGGCCGGAAGAGAGAACGTGAAATAAAAGTTGGGGTCTTTCGTTGTTGCGGAAATGCGTTGCTGACACCATAATGCGATTTTCTCCTCTACCCGAAGGTATGCGAGCCAAGAATTCAGTCTGCCCAATAGTTCTCAGACGTAACCAAACAACTCCAGGTAGCGAAGGCAAAATAGCCCAATAAGTTATGAGTGCTTTAGTTACATAAATATTTGACCTTCTGGACAAACGTTTTCCACAGACTGGGTGCTATGGTAAGGACCTAGTACCAAAAATTTGATAACATCAAGAGTGTACCAGTTGATGAGACTGTAAACGTCTACTGGAATACCAGGATGTATCTGCCTCAGGACAGCCTGAGAACGATCTTGGATGTACTGAGAATACTGAGGTCAATTTTCGCTTCGCACGATGCTTCTCGTGTGGCTTCGTCGCAAAAATGGATCGCCTATTACACCCTTTGAAGTTATCAAAGTAACTACTTTTTGACCATTGCTGAGTGGCACTGTGTATTTCCTTTGTTGCTTCCAATGTCGCTACCGAAACTTCTTTTGGCGTTATGCAGATTATGAACCCGTATTGGTGATGCTACTTAAGAATTTGGTCGTTCCAGCTGTAAGAGAAGTCATATAGAGCCGAGTGCATGTGCGTGACTTTGGACATTTTGGGGCCGGGGACATGCCGCAAATGCCCTCGGTGGAGGTGATAGAGTCACCTGAAGACTATCATATACCTGATTACCATACCTAATGCGAGAATGGCATTTTGAGAATACTTATAGAAGCACTGCATTGGGTTTCAGCGTTTGGTGGATATTGCGTCAGCAGTAGTGTTTAGGAAGGGCTATCTGCGTATTGGCAACAATCTCCAATCTGTCAAATCAACTTTGCGAGACTAAATGGGCTGATAGAAAAGTTCAATGGGTTACACTCTGGGCCATATCATCATTAATGATATCGATCACGTCATTTAGCACATTGCAGCAGCTGTGAAAACTCGTCAAACACCCCCCGCTTTGATGTGTTTGTGTGTGAGGGTCAAGTTGTTGTCATTCTCCTGATGAACGAGGGGCTGACAGTTCGTCAATCAATCTGCATCCACACTTAATATTCCACGACTTCGATCAAGGGTAACAATGGAACCGACAATATAAGTACTCGAAGAGGCTATATAAAGCGGAAGGAGAGTTGGGTCGGCAAAGTTGAAATTTGATCCCGATGGTCAGAATCTTTTACTTGCTGTAAGGTATGTGTGTGAACTTCTCGTTAAGGGTCCTCTCGTCTGTAACGGCTATTTCAAGGCACTGAAGATGACTGTAGCCAAATTTATCGAACATCCTACTTGGCGAGGCCCCTTAACCGGAACACTTGTGGCTCGTTTTGAAAGTTTTGTCATCTGCCACGCCCAGCAAGTCTCAACGGATGCACCATCATAGGACCAAAGTCGGAAAACGTATGAAACCTCCAACGAGGTAGCCTTGTACGAGTCAAAACTGGGATAGAACAGATGATGCAACATGTTTCTTTAAAAAAAAAAAAATACTAGAGCAGACAACCCATGGAAATAATCTTAGCCAGGGGTGCGTTGGGATCATCATCTCCTGAGAGAATTACTGTCTCATGACCCCCTCAGTGGGAAGTGCGAATTGATTGAGTGTCATAACACACCGAAAGACCAAGAAATCGGATCCTCAGATTTTACCTTATTATAGCCAGTTTATTAACCGCTTATTCCTTTCAAGTCCTTCTCTGCTGTAGGGTTAGTCGTCATAACCCTAGTCAACATACCAAACTGAACTATCAACTCATGGCAATTGAGAAGGGGGTTCCGGAGGACGTTGGCGTCGTAATTTGGTTCGACCTTTCGGAAAGTGCCGTATCAGATCAAATATTAAACTCATTGGGCCACTCCGTCTTCGTGGCTGGTGCCGAAAAGATATTTAGGAACTGATGTAGTACCTGTATCTCTCTAAAGCTTAGGTTTATTTATTTATTTATTTATTTTATTATTAACGTCTATTAAGTAAATTAATTATATAAGTCTTTATTTAAGTATTAAGATAGTAAGAGCTGCAGTTATTTAAACCCTGCGTTTACTATATTTTAATTTAATAAAAAAAATAAAAAGAAAAATATTAATTTATATTTATAAAAAAAAGATTATATAAATTTACTTTTTTTATTAATTTTTAAAACTTTTTATAGTTTTTATAACTTAAAAAATATATAGCTTTAAATAAAAAGTTTTTTTTTAAAATATTAAAAAAAAAATATAATTATTTAATATTTTATAAAATATTTTTAAATTTTAAATTTATTATATTTATAAATAAATTTTATATTATAATTAAATTTTTTATAATATTTTATAAAATTATTATATTTAAATTTTTTAATTAAAAATTTATAAAAAATAAAATATAAAAAATAAAATTTAAATAATATTATAAAAATATTAAATTATTAATATTTATAATATAATAAAAAATTATTATTTTAATAAATTTTTAATATTAATTTTTATTTTTTTTTATTTATTTTTTAATATAAATAATTATAATATAATTATTTATATATTTTAAAAATTTTAAAATTTTTTTAATTAATTAATTTATTTTTTTATTATTTAATATGTTTTTATATTTAAAAATATTAGACTATAACTATTGTTATAGTTAGAAAATAAAGCTTATAGCAGTTATTTTAATACCCTTTAGAGCCTTTTAGTTAACTTATAGCGCTAGCTACAGTAATTTATAGCTAATTATCCCCTATAACCCCTATAACCCTTAGTAATAAACTATATTTATACACTAATATTCTAACCTACCCTATAGTTTATAAGCTATTACTTAATTAAATTTAACTTATAGCTTTTTTAATAGCTATTGCTTAATTAAGCTTAGCGCTATAAAGTACTATAAGTTTATAAAAAAACTATAGAAAATTATAGTACTTTAAAGCACTATAAAATATAGCTTTTTAAAAGTTTAAAAATTAAATTTAATTTTAAAAGACCTACTTTTATAAAAAATCTAATTAATTAGAGGGCTAGAATCTTATTTATATAAGTATTTTAAGCTAATAAAATTACTTAAATAAATAGGTCTTTAAGATCTTAAAGAGGGAGCCTTATAAAAAGCTTAAAAATTATAAAATCTAAATCTAAGCTAAATCCTTTACTAAGCCTAAAAATAGATTTTAAAAACAGTTTATAAATACTTAATAATTATATAACTAACAGAAAGAACTAAAATAAATAAGCTATATTAAAAAATAGCTTAATTTTAAAACTATTTAACAGTAGTCTTTATATATTTTAATTTTAACTATTAATATTAATTTTTAAAATATAAATAGTAAAGGTTTTTCTTAAATTTCCTATATTAATAACTTTAATTAATTAATAAATTTAATAAATAAAATTAACTACTTTTAACTACTTTTAACTCTTTATTATTAAACCAGTGATAAAACTAGCTACCCTATAGCTTTAAAGTTTTATAGATTATAAGCCTGGATTTATTATTTTTTTTAATAAAATAATAAATAACTTAGCTAACAACTTCCTATTTATATTACTAAATCTATTGAATAACCTCTCTCTTTTAGCAAAAACTTAATTTAATTGTGACGAACCGGTCCTATATGTAGTATAGGTTAGCTGTTTTTAAAGGATAAACCTTTAGGTTTTAGGTTTATATTGGCGGAGCAGTTAAGTTAGGTACAGGCGTTG